GGATAATATAGTGGAAGTCAACATAACATTGTACATTGGTGTAAATTGGGGCGCCTAGGCCCATTGCTAGCAATCCTTTTCCCACTGTTAATAATATCGATGTCATCGAGTAATTTTAAAACAAAGATTTATTGCAATTTTTTTTGTATAAAATATTTTTTATAATCGTTTTACTGCTCTATCTGCTAACTTGTGCATATTGAGTCAAAATTTTAGGTACAACTTTCCTTTGAGGAAAAAAAATAATTAAAGACTTGTGTCGCTTAAACATAGACCACACAGAACATAGTGTTATTATTAAGATTTTTTTTTATTAATCTTGGAAAAATATTAGTTTAAGATGTTTACAGAATATGTCATAATTTAATCATCTTTTTTTATAATTATATATATACGGCATTCACCATGATGTTGAATTGAAATTTAGTTCAATTAAACAGAAATATGTGTCTATATGTATTAAATATGCCCCCATAGAAAAGCCCATACTGCTTTAATATCGGTATAGATTATGGTACATAGGGATATTTTATTTATTTTAGAATTTATATTATTACCATGCCACCAAAAACACTGCGTAATAATGCTGTGTAACCGCATAATTAACTAGATTAGGTAACCAATCTTCAGTTCAGAGTAAATAAAGCTTTAATTTGAGGTTACCCGACTGTTGTTTATTGTATGTATTATCTGTAATGTCTAAATGCTGTGAGTGTAAAGGGGGAAAATTACACAGCAGACGAGGATGTGCGTCCGACACGAGTATGACGCGCGTCCGGTGGTAACCAACACCATCTTAAGAGCGTTTATGCTCAGCTTGGGCAGGTTTTGCTAACTAATCGATATAACTAGACTTACCGCAATGCAATTAATGACTCGATTCTGGTTGTGATTTTTTGATGTAGGTACAATACATACAATAACAACTTTATAATTGATTACTTTAGTTAACTTGTCACTTGATGAGTATTTACGTGCGTTATGATTATTTCTATCTAAATGTGAAAAGAATCGTGTTCTCACTCTTGAAGTAACATTGTGAATTTGTGAATTTAATAACATTGGCCTTCACTTATCTTACTAGTGTTGGTTGGTACGTTAGATAGGTAACGTATTGGCAGCTGAATGAGATCTGAAAGTTGCTACTCAAACATCATAGTTATTTTAATGTTTATGTTACGTTGACGCTCACGGTGCCAACTTTATTTTCCGTTTAATTGAAACACGAGGCATTTCACTGAATTCGTCATATTGTGCCTGCGATTCAGTTTACGAGTTGTACTTTGTTGCGTCCACGGTTTATGTGCTCTTGAGTGGCTGTCGTGAGTTCTGGGTACTCGTGGTATTACAGATAAACAACTTCTTACCGTTAGCCTTTGCTATATTTATTATATACTAACATACATATATGTATATATCCTGAGATTAGCGCGTAAAATATAAAAGAGCAATGAGCTACTTTTTTTATATGTATATATGTAAATAATAATTACTTCAACTTATTACGGGGCATGAAAGTAATGATAATAAATAACAGAAGCCTAATCCTTATTGTTCAAATAGTAACAGGACTGGTATGACGCCAGATGTCGCGACTGCAAGTACGAATTGTGCAAGAGTAGAAGGCCTTCGTTAACAGGAGAGAAATGTTATGCGGTTACTTAATTGTCATCTAGTGATAGTAGGCTGATGTGACTCATTTTAATTTTATGAGGCTTTGAGCTTATATCTCTTCCATAGTCGTTGCTTTGATTCCTCGTACTGTAGAAACATTAGCATTCAGGATTAATTGTATTTGCCAGGGTGTTTGAAACAAACTTGAATACATATTTTATTGTAAATATATAAATACTTCATGTATTTATGTATTTACAATAAAATATGTATTCAAGTATTTCTAGTAGTCTGTAGTCTATCAGTTGTAATACCCGGAACACAAGTTATGTTTTACTTAGAACTAGTTGGCACTGTGTGAATTGTCCAGAGTTGTTATTGTTATTGTATGGATTAACATGTAAGATGACTGAATGAAATATGTACCTATATACACAAAATGTAATTATTATAATTAATTCTAAATGAAATTTGGATATCTGCTACTGAAAATCAGTGTTTTTCTCCTTGAGTAAATTATTTACTGTGTAACTCAACCCTTTTGTATCCCTGTGGCACTTGATATTTTTAATTATTACGTTATAAGTTAAAGTATTTTTTATACGATATATATGACATTCATACGCATATTTGTTTGTAGCAATAACATTGTATGCAATGTTTTGGGTATTAATAGAGATATTGTTTATCTATCTATATGACCCTTCGTATGACATCTCTAGTAGGCTATTAGACTGACTAGACTAGTAGTAGACTATTGATTTTAGCTGCTTGACACTTTATAAATTAATGTCAATTAAAAAGAAATGGTAGTTCGTTGTATAATTTAAAACGTATACTACAATAACAATATGTACTATAAATAGATTATTAAAGATTATTATTAGTTTATGTATTGGATGAAAAGGCATGATGACTCATAGGCAACTGTTTATCTCAATCTTTGCCAATTTCGATGTCATTGTACCTAATATACTGTCAATTCATTCTATTTACTATTATAAATTTATTTTTCGTTTGGACGAGGTGTTTTCCTTTAATCTTGAGTCATCTGACATCAAAATTAGACAAGAAAAGGGGTTTATGTTTTTAATAGTGTATAAAAATATATTTATACTTAATAAGTAACAATATTAGCATATTTTTCAAGTAAATAAACTTTCTAATTCTCTATTGAAAATTATGTGCTGAAATAGAAAGATTCTCTTTCTTTCTGAAGTCGGTTGAATAATTGTTTACTTTGATTCGCATTGGACCGTGTTGACTGTTGGCTCGCTTGTGTTATGCAACCTGAGCTATCCTCGACTCGGTGCAAACTGTGCTGTAATTACATACACCCTCCCCCTTCACTCGATTCACCCGCGACGTCCTTGTCTCTCCACCTGAAGAGGTGTCATATTCATATGTGTAAGTAGGTACGTAATTATTCACATTGTTATGAAGTTTACGTGTTCTCACACAAAGAGTAAGTCGGTGAAACAAAAATATTTGAATTTGGATAATACTTCTTCAGCCATTGTTAGCTATTATAGTAGTTGATGATATTATGTAATTAGTCGCCTGGTATGTATATAACAAACACGTATTTCAGTTTGATAAATCTTTATTCTGTGGTGTAGAATTAGGACATGATGATAGGACAATTCTGTTATCTTCCAAGCTGAAAACTCAAACTTGGGAACATAAAATGTTGTTTTACGAAGCTTGATTTTATTCATGAATAAGGAAGTCTGCTTATGTATCGACAAATATTATTTATGTGAATTTGACCACCATGTTACACACAAAATGGTGGAACGTGGAGATGGAGGGTACCATGAGGTAACAAACTACTTTGTGAATTTTGATGTGTAGGTACTTTATGTACTGGGATGCCATTACTTTAATACCGTTTATAATTAATATATTGTACTCCTGTGTTAGTTTCATAATAATTTTGTAGCGATTGAGTACCTTATTTATGGAATAAAAAATGTACTTCTTATTTAATGGCTTTTCATCGACTTATACGGAGTTCATATGAACGTAATGTTAATTGCTATGAATAACAAAACATATAGTTTTTTATTTATGGAAGTAGATATGTCTGCGAATATGCTTGTCTGGACTCGAGCAGGTGCAATTTATGGTACAGGTGGTTGGCAGCTGATAGCGCCAAGTTCATTACCGCGCCGTACAAATTGATTCGGCGTGGTGACGCCCCCAGAGACCTACTTTCCAATGCAACACTTTCTTATCTCACCGACGGTGACTCGTTGATTCTGCACGGTCACTTTGACGAAAGTTTTGCAAATTAATATGAATGTGATACGAATGTCTACTTATGTCCACTTCAGACAAATGAAGCTACGTATAGTAGCTTAATAGTTTATAGGATTTCCATCTCTATACAGACTAAAAAAATATTATGAAATGAATAGAATAGAAATAATCGTTATTCAAATAAACTTTTGAAAAGTCTTTTAAATGTTTTTGATTCTACAGCTCAATGAATGAGATTACATAATTATGATTTTTTGAAATGTATACATATACAGTGAGTATAGTATACTTGATTATTGGCGTAAGAATATTTTTTATTTTGATACGAAATCATTAAAATATATATTATTGAAAAATAATATTGTATATTGATTATTGATATGTAGTATATATTAATGAAGAATTGCCGACTGCTTAACTGAAAAAATTAATAACTATATAATATTCTTCAATAAAGAATATACGTGTACATATTTTCATTGTCCATTTCACTTTAAATTCTGTAAGAACTATAGTGCTAGTACACGTGACGTTCTAACATATTCGTTATACAGAAAACAAAGTTTTTAATTAAACTTTTATCATATCTGATTTGCTATCAATTTATTAACATACTATGTACGGTAAATTTACATTATCAGTATTTAATCTATATTTAAATCGATAAGAGGACTTTCCCTTATTCTGTATTGCAATGTAATAACTAATAATAATTATTAGTTATATGTTAGTTATGTATATGTATATATATATATTATAAATTTCTGTTTCTGAGTAAAAGTAACGTAACTATATGTTGTATATATGGTAATTGCCACCTAGGCGTAGTTAATGATCACGGTAGATGCCCGTGGTACTTCATACATTGCCATTACTGAGGTGTCATGCGTCAACAGCGTCCTATGGCAGTGCAACAGAATTTGACAGGATTCGTGTGAAGTTAGGTCAGTTAATTTAATTTAATTAGGTTTAATTTCCAGGGGACTCCACGAGGAGGGCGACCTAACACTTTATACTACTAACAATGAGGTCAATATTACTCTGACTAATGATTTCTGTCTCCCCACAACCTGTATGCTAATATGCTATGATAACATGTTAAAGTTTATCATTTTTCTTTTCAGTCATTTAACAAAGACTACGACATGGGATGATCCGAGGAAGACTTTGGCTGCACAGACTGTAACTAGCAGTGTCCAGCATCAGAGTGCAGAAACACTACTCTCGCAGACCCCCACAGCACAAACGATAGCACCAGTAGCAGCACCAGGTACTACTATATGATTTATTTAATTTAAAGACTGTTATTTATAACAGAAATTTTTTATGGTATTGTAATTATGCCAGTATCTTGTCACTGGGATGTTATAATGGTTTAATGCGCATATATATTTTTTTTGAGAACTTCACATTCACGTGATCTAATTGGCCACACAGGCGCGTTTAAAATTATCATGGAACAGAAATAAAAACAAGTAAATAACCCGAATTCTAAAACTGATTTTATGACGGGAATTAACGCGTTGTTTCCGTCGGTCGATGCGAGACGAGCGTTGAAAGGTGTTCAGAAAATATATTGGTGTCAGTGTTGCCAGCAATATTTGGCCAAGCCCATTGGAAGGAGCACCAAAAGCACTTAAAGTATACTAAGTTTTTAAACATATGTTAAAAAAACTATTATAAAAACCCAATTATATTATTGCAAGGAGATGCTTATATAATACCATAATCTAAACATAACTTAGTTTTATAAAATAGGAATACAAATATAATAACCATTCTAAAACAGGTTTAAATCTAAAAGTTGAGTGATTTAATGGATATTCCTTATCTGTTATTATATATCTGGATATTGTTATAGCTGATAACTATTACTTTTGACAACATATTAAATTTTGTGTCGTAAGTAATATATTCATAAAAATGTTTTTATGCTTTTGCAGTTAATGGAAAATCTATAAATATACGTGTACTGCCCAATATTTGCCTATTAAAAATCCACTAACAATTGCAAACGAATTTTGTCTATTAAAGGGGGTTTAAATATACCAGATTTAGTGGTGAAAACACCAAAGTTGCAACACCGATTGGTGTCGCGTCGCGCTGGGAGGCACGTATGGGAACGGCGCCTGCGGCTTTCAGCGCGCTCGCCCCTACGCGACTTGCGACACATCCGCGTTACATCAAATAACCGCATAAACAGCTCCCGTTAACTTTGTCTTGTCCAGCTCCAGATAAACAAATATTTTATCTCTCCTCATTTTTCATCTCATTTCATGTGAAATATTTTTTTACATATCTGTCATATCAGACATTTATATATCGGTAAGTTTTTTTAGTTCTTTTGAATGTAACAAATCTATTAACAGTAACTAAACTTCAACGGCGGCAGTCTGTTCAATAAAGACTTTATTCGCATGTTTCGTTCGAGGATTACTATGGATAGAGACTTCAAAACAATATTTTTTGGAATCGTTATGGCTATGTGTATGTTCGATTTTGAAGAATTTTTTTTACGAAAATTATAGTTCTTATTATTTTATGATGGAGAACACAATTTGTAATGGAATAGTGTGAAATATCTGATCATAGTAAAATGTATATTCAAAACAAAAGATGTACGTCAATGATTACGTTAGCCATTCAGCTCTCTCTGTACATGCATTCGGACGAAGTCGCGCGGTGAGCTAGTGGATAATAAAACAGATACCCGCCATCTATAATGTCGGCATTACGTGTCTGCGCACTTATTTATGAATACCTTCTTCCGATAGTTTACATTAGTACGTGCTCTAGTCACGTTCCGGAGGCATCTGTCGACGCCATCTCTAGACAAGTGTCAGTGTTCTATTACTTATCTTTCCAGCAGACACAAACAATCTAAGTAGATCAAGTGACAAAGCAAATAAATTCCGTTTCCCTATCACATTCTTCCAAAATCTCATGCGATAACATACCATTTCATATAGTAAACTTTAAAAATAGTTTCCGAATAATTTAAGATAATTGTATCTTCTCATACTCACTAAAAATCTATCTTAGCCATTATGGATTTTATTCATGGTAGTAGTGTGGAGGGGGTTAAATGATAATATGTGGCCTACAAAAAATAAATCATAACACCTTGTTTCACTGATAACAGGTGGCGTTCTCTACTTGACAGTATTTTATGCGATTACTTCACTAGTGTTGCGCCGATTTCAGTGATTATTTTATCAATCTTTGATTTCCTCTTCTGAATACTAATTTCTATAAGAGAAGACTTAAACAGTTTTTACCTGTATACTAATTTTGGTCTCATTTTGTGTGAACAGGGCATTACGTGATGTTGATTGTACAGTACAGACATTTTGCTGTCTTGCGTATCTATTAATGAGTATAGTGTACTGTGTGTAGGTGATAAATAAGACTGTTTTAGAAAGAAAGGCAAAGCACTTCAAAATTCTCTTTGTAAATAAAAAGCACTCCGACTGCCAATAAATAAATGTATGCAATTGAAGTAGCTCAAGTGGCGTCTAGACTATCTATGAAACAGTTTGACGTTGAAACAAATTAAGAGCGCAGAGAAGAAGGTACCGGCACAGCGATATTCCATATATGGTAACAGTACCTACTCTATGCACGAGCGTACTGTTCTATAAAAAGCAACCCAGACATGAAAACAACTTCATCCTGTTAAGAATTCTGAGTCTGCGAGATATTTCTTTTCGCATAATTTTTTTAAAGTAATTGGATTAGTATACGGTTGTTCCCCGCACTCATGCGTTATCATTTCTGAGGGGAATCAGATGTCATGCCACTTATTCTACTGAAGTACTTACGCAGACGATTTTATATAAGTTCTATCTTGGTATAGTTCAGGTCATAAAGTACTATATAACCATGCCTATGAATTTGTGGTAACCGCAATCAAGGCTTGTGTCTATATGGCAACAATATTGTTAATGCATTCTACTCCTTTCTAGCCTCAAGCAGCTTACGTTATTAACTACAAAGGAAAACCAAAATCCTTATGGTGTTACTTTTTCCGACTTTAAAGTATACTTTATTTGTCACAGCGCTATATATATTAAAATAATAGTTTTGTAATTTGGATTAGTTATAATTGCCTAATAATATTCTGGAAAGAAAATAAATATATAATTTATTTTCCGAAATGACGGCTTCAAAATGTGTAGTAGCAGTATTAATTTAAATCCTGATTTAAGTTAATACTGCTACTATACATACTTATATGTTACCTGTAACATATATATACATATATATATATATATATTACCTGTATATATTTGTGATTAGAACTACATTCAAACTTGTTCAACTTCGACCGTGTGACCAGTGCGTTGCCAGCGACGATTTACGGAACTATAAAATGGTTGCACACTGTTAGGTATAATGCCATACGAGGAAGCTCCAAGTCGCTCAGCAGGATTTTAATGGTGCGATAATGTAAGACTAGGTAGACGTAATTATATACTCTTATCGTATGTTACTCGTATTGCAATTTAGCAGTGTGCTTGGTCGCCGAGTCGCAGCTATATTGGTTGAGTAATGACTAAATATGTTTAATTAAACATAACACACATTTACACAAACAACGACTAAAACGCATGTGTAGGAAAATGCAACGTCGGTAACTATCTAGGCTATCTTGGAACAATATCTTTTATGGAATAAATACCAGTTTAATATGCAATAGTCAATACTTCGCGTGTACTTGTGTGCAATATCGGTAGTCATAATGAATAAAAATGACTCATTCGCATGACATTATCTGAAACCAGAGCGTACAGGTGTGGAGTGCTATAATAAATAGTTTAATTTAGATAGAAGTAGGAAATAGTGAGTAAACATAGCTAACAGGCCTCGTGATCATGAATGATATAGTTTGAATATAGCGCGTACACATAAACATTGTGTGTACGAGGGTTAAGAGGCCGCGGCCGCCGAGCGACATCGCCGCAGTGATTCATTTTGGTGCGTGCGCCAAAGCGTAGATGCGCGGGCGCGCGTCTGGCGCCTCTGTTTTCTTGGAACGAGCTCTCGATGACCTTCCCAATGTCCACCTGATTTCCAATCACGTGCGCGTTTTACATTAAGATCGTCTATCTCTATTGGCTTTGCAAGCTTGCAACTAGTCGCTGTTGAAAGGATCATAAATATGTTCATTAGTATTTACCATTGACCGATATTGTTATAAATAACCAAAACTCATCGAATGCTTCTGATTGGTTTCAGCAGCGAAGAGTACAAGTAGTAACACGGCGACAGATCCACTAGGACCGTTACCAGATGGCTGGGAACAGGCATCGACTCCAGAGGGAGAAACGTATTTCATCAATCATGCCACTCGTACAACATCCTGGTTTGATCCTAGAATACGTAAGTGTTACGGTTACTGTGTTTAAATATTTTCTTGTATGCATTACGCGTGTGTGTAATTTATGATACGTTTATTTTTTCAGCACAACACTTGCAGCGCACTCCGGCGGCGAGTGCGGGCGCGGCGGGCGGAGGCTGGGCGAACGCTTCAATACAAGCTTGCCAACAGAAACTACGTTTGCAGTCATTGCAGCTTGAACGAGAACGTCTCAAGCAGCGCCAGCAGGAGATTAGACTCCAGGTAAGAAATATAAAAGTATATGGAAAGAGGAGCATTATACTACTGTTTCCACACATTTTTGAGAAATATAAAAAAAGATTTATTATCTCTGGATTTGTTTGATCCATTCTGGTAAAAAGAAAACTAAAATATTGGTGATTCATTTAATCATATTCTCGTGGTACTGTTATATAACAGACAGTCTTAAAAATGGCAGATCTGTCCTCCATAGATTATTTTAAGCCTTCCTAGTTAAGTTTTATGTAAATTTTTAATGTACAGGTAGTTCGACTGTCATGATTTCATTGTTTTAGTTAATAGGTACTTAAACATTATTCATATTTGATATTTTGGTATAAACGTGGTTCAGATGCATAATTTGAATAATTATTATACATTATAACTTTTTCTATTCAAAAGATTTTCTATTATAATTGTCAAAGTGAATTAATATAACTTTCGCTCTTTCGAAGATCAGGCGAAATTACATATAGTGGTACTAAAATATCAATAACATTGTATACAATCCAGAATCGTATAAATTTTCCTCAATTATACGTTTACACAATAAAGTCATCTGGGTTTTTTACACGTCGATTAGTTACATTGCTTTAAAGCAAAACAACATATATTTGTATTAATAGAAAATCAAAGAATGTAGTGTATTTGAATAGAAAACAATTATTATGTTCTTTACTGTACATAAATTAAAAATCCGTTCGTATCCGCTATACGTGTATCCACGAGCGAATTGACCGAGAAAAAGTAACATACTACAGTAACATACTCTTCGTTCCAAATACTGCGTATATGTAGTAAATTTCATGATGATTTGTTTAGCCACGAGCTCATAAATAACAAACACATTATGAATAAGATGATGTTATACTAGTAAGAGCTTCAAACGTCTAATAAGTCTATTTTAGCTATAGAATTATTTGTCCCTTTAAGCCGTACTATTTTGCCGAATATGACAAAATATACATATATATAGTTAGAATAGTTTTGTAGGTTTTAGTTTTTATGAATGGGGGTAAATATATGTATTATTATAAATGAGTATGAGTATTTACATAAGTATGTTTAATGTAACTGATGTCAACATGTACATGTTAATTTATCAATGTGATATTTATATGCATAGATGAATTCATTTAATCATTTATACATATAATGACATATTTTTGTTTGAATTAGTCTAGTAAAATTTTTAAATTTGATAAATAAAATTATAAACGTCCGTTCTCGATTAAAGATTACTCGTATCATACAAGTATGTAGTACCTAGACCCAAAAAAAACAGTATTATTTTGGAATTTAATGGAATGGTCTACCCGCCTATGCTAACGGTTTACGCTGCACCAGTGACGATATGATGAGCATGAGGGAGGTCAGTTAACCCATGGTTGCTATTTCACTAATAATTTATCACGATGGTTTCCAGGGGAAACCTTGTGGAAGTCAGCCTGACTTGGTACATTGCTAGCAATGGAGACCACATTAGATATTATTTATACGATACATAAATACGATACATTTTTCATTCTAATTTCTTATTTATCATATTTACAGCAAGAGCTTATGGCTCGACAAGTGACGTCATCATTATCAAGCAGTATTGGAGCTGCGAACACAGAGTTGTCGTTGGATCCGTTCCTCTCAGGACTGACAGACCACCAGCGGCAAGAGTCAGCCGATAGCGGGCTGGGAATGGGAGTCCCGCAGTCGTATTCGATGCCACACACGCCCGAGGGCTTCTTAGCCAGTATGGACGATCGTATGGACTGCAGTAGTGAGGCAGGCGCCAATATGGACTCTTCAGACATGCCACTTGGAGACACAGAAGATTTGGTACCTTCTCTACAGGTAATTGACTAATAAATATTTGATAGTTACTTATTAGATGATGTAGTAGCAACTATATATACTAAACGATTACTATAGCCAGAGATATCACGTGAGCGTTACTTTATAAAAACATGGCGCCACTTTCGTAGAGATTTGCGTATGCTTTCCTAATATAACATTTTCTCACGATACTATCCTACTATCGGTTCTTACAGTATTTTCCTCGTTCCATAATTCTTTGAATGTGTGATGTTGACCATGAGTTCCATGACACATTTATGCGCGTCATTGCCCTGGAATCTTTTTAATATTTATCACTATTAGCTTAAATAATAGTCTTTGTAAATTATAAATTATAATTTAATTGCATTGTTTATATATATATTATATATAAACAATGCAATTAAATATTAATTATTATTTCAGAAATATGAACAAATTTTTAGTTTAATTAAAATATTATTGATATCAAGTGTTTTTGTTAATTAATAAATTTTTCTTTGTGTTGTTGTTAAATAATTAATTATTAATATTATTTAAGTTATATGTCCATAATGGATCAGTCTGTTCTTTTCAGTGAAAACTGCTCTAGTTATGATTATGTCGTTGTATTAGACCTATTATGTATTAATAGCAATTAAATCTTGCGTCTTATGTATGTGCAATAAAGATTTTTCCGCAGCTTTATCGTGATATAATGATAATAGACGCTGCTCAAATACATTTAAAAATATTTTGAGATCAAATTTCGTTGTACATAGCATAAACAAAACTATCGGTTTCAATCAGCATGGTTGCAAATTGATGGGTATGAAATTTATCTTGATACCTATTTCTGAGGAATCCCTCCAAATGACTATCAGGTTAGGTTTGCCATCTTGTCTGTAGTAAGATAAAGATAGCAAAAAAAGAGATGTGTGTCTGATTGTGTGTATCGGTCGGCGTGTTTTCTACGTATATTATACTTCAGTATTTATATAAGTTGTTTAGTTGTCCATAACAGAAGCTTAGCTAGATGTTATTCTGTGAATTGTTATGGGTTATTATCTTAGACACATTGAGTCACACCACACTACGACAACTACGATCACAGTTTGAATTTATTGTCAATATTTTGCTGTTACATATAATACTGGCCGCGTCTTCCTCTTTTTAATTGGGTAATGGTGATTTACGGGGATAAGCAATGTTTCCCTCTTCATTCAAAATGATACTTCATTGCTTAATCATGATTGTATGAGCATGATTGTATGACATCAAGACGTAACAAAACAAAGTTTTTTTTATAGCAGATTTGTACTTAATATTAGTTACAATATAATGCCTATAATTCAAAACTACTGACTCATTAAATGACAATCTTTCCGTCAGTACTTTTTAATCTATCAATACGTACATATTGTATATGTACATATATGTAATCTTAACAATATTTTGTTTTGATTTCAGTTGAGTGAGCTGACCAATGACATGCTGTTGGACGACGTGCAGTCATTGATAAACCCTACTCCAAATAAACCTGGCAACATGCTGACCTGGCTTTAAGCGCTATCGCAGCGTAGTCCGCCGCCAGCGCAATTCGCGCGATGCCTGCGATTGCGCGATTATTCACCGGGTGCACGCTCGATGCTTACAAACTTTCATATTAGGTACTATGTTTATTTAGCGTACTTACCATGGCATCAAATATATGCAGTGTCGGTGACAATACGCTAACGGTGGTGTATATTTCAATACGATATACAATAACAAGAGTAATGTGTGGTTGCCGCTGATTTTGTTTGATGTGTCGGTGTGGTGTCAATGTCACCATATCGATTTAAAATATAATTACAACATCGCTAATTACTCAGAATTAGTTTTGTCGTCCCTGCATTTATTCGAATGGGACAGAAATACTAAATTCTGTGTAGTAAGCGTATTTTATTATTGAATTGTCATATGTGTATTAGGATGTTTGTGTCTGAACGAGATAATGATTGTACTAATCAAAATTTCACTAAGTGTTTTACATTGGTGTTATTTGTATTTTTGTTTTAATGTGAAGGACAATAATAGTTGCCTGTAGGCCATAAACAGCGAGCGGTTTATGTAGATGCCACGTAACGTTATGTTATTGGCCATGACTGTCATGAATGGCTAGTCATAATTAGATAGATACAAATAGGGCATATTGCTCTGAACCCGAGTCTTCTCGGTCGCTGCAAACCTTCTTTCATAGCCGAAAGGAGTGATGTTGCAACGCAATTGAACATAGGCTAGGATTCCCATATTCTTCATGTTTAAGATTGTCGGAAATCCTACTCTTCTAAAAGTTATTGTAAAAATTAGACGTACTGCCTGATTTGATACAAAGTCGTGTGTCTACTAAATTACGATACGATTGTGATAACATCTATAACTTAACAGTGCCTTATCGTGCCTTAAAGAAAGTTATTTATTGTGTTTTGTAATTTAGATGTTACAATGTTTCTACATTTTTCTATTCAGAATTTTGATGTATTATTCATTTGAGATAATTATACTACTTAATATATATACTTTTAGTAACGTGTTTTATCGACTTACACCGTCCTTTTGGTATTTGTTTCGAGATTATTGATAGTTGTTAAGTTTTATCCTTAATCGTGAACTAGACAATAATAATTATGTTGGCATCTATTATAATTTACTTATGTATAATAAAATAGTTCGAAGAGTGTGGTGATATAATTGCTGGAAATATCCAGCTGCATTCATATGTAGCTGGTCGGTTTTGTACGTGCAGACGATAACAAGAACCAGATCGTCAGTATATTAATACGAGTCAAGAGGAATGGTGAGATATTTTTTGACACGTGGCAATTTAATCTCTTTTATATATTGTTAGTGATTTAAGAGAAAAAAAAAACTTTTTAGACGTTTTTTTTTTCATAATCATTCGGAGCATAAAAACGTTATCTCTTTATGATTAGTGTGCAATATAAACGATGTCAAACCATTTGGTGCCAACTGAGATAATTTGTAAACATATCTTCACTGTCATATAAGTATTATTTCGTTAACTTTATCTTATCGATCTGTGAAAATCTATCATTCATATTTTGTCAGTATGTCGAAACCTTCTCAAAATTGTGTTTTAGCCCACCTAGTCTTTAGATGTTTTTATTTACTTATGTGAGTGTGATGAATTCTACAATCTTTATTGACTTATCATAATGAAATTAGGACTATTTTAAATGCTACATTGAAAACTTTGCCATATTAGGAAAATACTATTATTCTTATAAGACTTTAATGTAATTTTCAATTATATAAAATAAGAGATATAAGCATCTGTATAACTATTGTAATTAGAGGTAAAGGTGCTGGGTTTTGATACATTTAATTTTGTATTCTGTAGGTCCATTCGTTATACTTTATTTGTATTCGTGTAATAGTTCTTATGCTCCCTAAGTTACGATGCTTTACATATTGTTCGGGTAATTATTCTCAAACGTTTTATATTTACGAAGCCTCTGAGCGGATTTAAATAATGCACTGTAGTAGGATATTAAATATGCTGTTTGTGACTGCGATTGAATTATATAGTACAGGCCCGCATTATACTTATTTACATAATATGTTGCTGTAATATATTATGAAACATTCCATTTTGCTAACAGTTCGCTGTGCTCGACCGCCTCTCGGTCGGACTGTGACGTGGCTTGTCGCAGAGTAATATTCTGAACAATATATCAAGTGTAAAATATATAGTTTATTTCTAAGTATAGCCTTTATTATTACAAACATATCTTTTCAGTCTGATAGCAGAAGCAAGTTTTCTCTGTAGTGTATGTAACTTTACTTATATTGATGTTATAACAAAAGAAATAGATGTGTATCAAAAGCAAATATTTTACAATTTCCTCATTGTAAATAATTCGATATTCTTATATGAATAATATCAATTAAATAAATCCATACTTGTTTTAATATTTTAATTTACTTCACACCTTGAATACATAACATAGTATAATTTGAGTCTAAAACAGCATTTATTCGTATAATCTGTATCACATCACTAGAGTTCATCTTGTACTTTCTGTTGAAGAGATAAACAAGATTAGTCTTTAATCTTCAATAGTGTATGTATATTTCAAGTTGAATAATTAAAAACAACTGCACATCTAAGCCAAGTTAATAAAAAAAATTGAATTGGGTAAACATGCCAAATTTTAATAATTAATTATCTGATTAAAACTATAACTACAGTGTCCATTAAAAAAAAACAGATCAGGCAGATTTTATTAATGAGGGAGACTAATTTATCCTTTGTGTTAGTGTTTATGTTAGTTGCAAGAATTCAAAAATATGTATTTTAAAGAGGAAAGAAATACGCCAAGGATCTTTCATCATTAATAGTGTTTAATGAAATCTAAGATTACGGAAGTATACCAGACGAACAAGTATAAATTATTAAGAAAAAGCAAAATAATTTCGATCGGGTGCAGAATTCATAAGCATATCTATAGCAAATAATGCCCATTATATAAAATATAGTGAGTGTATTAGTTGTAAAGATATAATAATACGTAAGAAGTAGCGTTTTATAAGTACTATTACAAGATAAACATATTCTACTACAAATTGTTAGTTAGTCGTTAATCTAATTTCATACTCGCGAGTTAGTACATGGTTGAAATTGTTTCTTACGTTCAAAGTTCTATATACTATATGTTCTATATACCTACAGGAAAGTATAAAAAAGCAAAAAAATATTATGATAATGTTTTATTTTACAATTCTTAGTTCTCCACATTCGAATTAAATTACTCGAATACAGATAGCATAAATATTAACTCTACTGTTATCACATATATACATTGTTATATGCAATTTTTACATTATTCACAAATACACTTTTTAGTAAATGTATGTACAAATTATTGCTTTCTTACTGCTGGATCCTTAAAGCGTTCGTCTTGAGGCAGCTCCCTAGTAGCTGTCAGCTGACGATAATATTCTGCGGACAATTTAGGTGTCCGAGGTCGTGCGGGATCATTTATATCCACGTAGTAAAATCCAAAACGTTCCCTGTAGAAAGCACATTAAAAATATTGAGTTATGTAAGAGAAAAAAGATTTTTAGTAGAAACACATTGATCAATAATTCCAGAAGAGCTCTTGTGACGCTATGGTTTATAATCTGCGCTTGTTGGATACAAATAAGTTCTAATCTGACTGAGACATTGAAATATTGTAACAAGTTTGCTTTCTAAATAATTATGGAAACGTTCTCAAGTCTCTTCGTAATCGCAAGCGACCAAACTTGACTAGATAGATACATAAAATGCACTAATGCACTAATTTACAAATCCAAAAAATCTTTTAGTGATGTGACGTTAGTGGATAAATTACTTACGAGAATCCTGCTCGCCATTCAAAATTGTCCATCAAAGTCCAAGCGGTATAACCCAGAACATTAACTCCGTCCTCATAGATTACAGTCAATATTACTGAGAGGTAATCCTAAAAAAATATTTTCGTCTTAATATCATAAGTTATTATATATAATTCCAAACAAGTTTATCTTAACCAATATATTCTATTGATATAAATAAAAGAAGTTAATACTAACATTATAATATTGGATGCGCTTATAATCTTCTAAAGTGCCGCGGTCTGATACACCATTCTCAGTTATGTAAATTGGTGGATCGTCGTATGAACTTTTACACCAGCGAAGGAAATTTGCAAATCCAGTTGGTACTACCTGATAGATAAAACATTATATTAAAGATTTTCTACAAAGAAATTAGCTAATTAAATAGCTTAAAGAGTCTTTACCCTAAGCCATTGGGAAGCAGACTCCTCGCCGACTTCTGTTGTGGTTATAGCTCCGATATCTTTCAGCCAAGAAGGAGATTTCGCTATGGAATCTACGCCAGCTCCAGTTATTAAATGTGTTGTGTAATGATTGATACCAAGGAAATCTGATGTACCCTTAATTCTTTGAATCCAATATTCATCAAACTGATTCAGGCGAGATCGTGGATAGCCTTCAGCCTCGCTCTGGCGGGCTACGTTTTCAATCATAACAGATGGGTACCCACCTTCCACGGTAAATATCGGATGAGCGAACCAACCGAACTGAAAATTAAACAAGTATATATTATACATGTTGTATTAAAAAATAATATATAATTGTATACATACCTAATGAATATTTTAAGTCTGTTTAAACGATCAGTACGAATAGTTACCGTAAATCGCTGAAATACCATCCTGATCATCTGGATGAATGGCGGTCTTCCACAGTGCGGTTTTCTAGAAACTTTTTGCCTCGCACAACCACATTATGGAATCACCTTCCAGCAATGGTATTTCCGAACCGATACGATATTGAAACTTTCAAGAGCTCATTCTTTCTTAAAAGGCCGACAACGTACTTGCAATTCCCCTGGTGTTGCGGGTGCTCATGGGCGGCGGTAATCACTTACCATCAGGTGAGCCGTATGCTCGTTTGTCCCCTGTGTTATAAAAAAAAAAATCTATACAGCTTGGGTATAGACTTCGAAATATATGAAGTCTTTTAAAAAATATAGGTACATATTAGAATCCATTGTAAAGCAATTGGCTAATAGTCACACACATATACATATGTTTATGTCAAACCTTTACAAAATGTAAAAATCCTACGTGTATGTAAATCAAATAATAGGAATAAGTAACTTACTTTAAATTGATTTGCCACTTCTGCTAAAGTAACTTGTTCTGCAATTTCTGGATCTTTGGGCTCGTACCAAATAGAATTAATGGAGATCATAATTTTGCCATTTTGTTTTGATCGGTATGTGTCGTTATACAGATGATAGGCTTCAGCGTGGGCTTTCAGTAAAGTATCACTGCACAAGTAGTTTCCGACTCCATGACTGTCAATTGCGGGTGCCTTCTTCTCGTCACCATACGCGTCTTCACAAATTTCGTAAGGTTCGTTGAAGGTAATCCAGGATTTAATCCTGTCACCGAATTCCCGGAAACATATGTCTGCGTAATCCCGGAAGTATTCGATCATTTTAGGATTCGCCCAACCTCCCAAATCTTGTAATGTTTGAGGTAAATCCCAGTGGAAAAGGGTAACCTAAAATTCAGAGGGGAAAGGCTATTCTTAGTAATGTGGACGATGACCTTATTACTAGCAATGTACCATGTCATGCTGACCTCCACGCGGTTTCCCCTGGAAACCACCGTGATAAATTCTTGGTGAATTTGTTTGTGAATTTTGTGAATTTGTCACGATGGGCCAACTAACCTGATCTCATCTTATCATCTTCCACTGGTGCCCCGCCAGCGTTAACCGTTAGCCCAGGCGGGTGCGTCATTCTATTATCATCCATAAAAAATCTTAAATTCTAATATCAATAACATACATTGCTATTTGTACATTTACTGTTACACCTTTGTATAAAATCAGACTCTCTACTCGAACCTACCATACCATATACTATGGGTATAGGTATGTATAATTGTCTTACATTGAGTTTTGCGATTGAGTGCTTCTCTGCATTGTTTTCTTTCGATTAGGAAAGTTAAACTTTACTGTAATGTTATCCCAGATAAGATCAAATTACCTCATCAGAAGAGACAGAACAAGAATGATGCCTTAGGCGCATAATATATTCTGTGAGGATTACTTATTTCTGACTGGATATGTATATAGTTAATACAACCAACATAGCTAATATTAATTAAACCAACAACTCAAAAAAATACCAAGCCACTAAATTGTAGAAAAACATAAACAATAATACCAATAATAGTTAAAAAGATAATAATTACCAGTGGTTCGATGTTCTTCGCTTCAAGAGCATCCAGCAAATCATTGTAGTAACGAACTCCGTCTGGGTTTAGGTAGTCCACTTGACCCGTTGGTAGTATTCGAGCCCAGGATAACGAGAAACGGTAGAAGTCGACGCCGAGGTAAGCCAATTCTTCAACATCTTCACGGTATCGGTTGTAGGAGTCACATGCTATATCTCCGTTTGTACCATCAGCAATCATTTCTGGGCGAGTGTGAGTGAGACGATCCCATACATTTTCAGATTTACCTAAAGTACATAACATTATTAAAATATCAGTTGTATACATTTATTGGAGATTAAAAATTATATTTTGTTAAATATGATTCACCTATTATGAAACTCACCGCTAACATTCCAGGCCCCCTCAATCTGATGTGCGGCCGTTGCTACCCCAAAAGTGAAACCTTCAGGGAATTTGGTATAAAGGGCAGAGCTCCTAAAATATAAGTAATTGTAATTTAACACTGAAATGTAATGTTTGTATTCTGCTGTTTTATAAGAAAGAATTGGAGTGAATAATCTTCGGCTCACTTCAGAAATCAGTGCCATAAATTTGGGTTATTATACAAACCTTACGCTATAAATGTACTGTTTAATTTTCTATCAAAAGCTATGTAATATTACCTTATTTGTGTCATATTTATTATTAGTGTAAGTATTGTATAATAACCCAAATTTATGAATTAAGTATACTGATTTCTGAAGACATCCATATTTTATTACTAAATTACTATGATAATATACAATATAATGATTACTACATGTATAGACGAGAGTAATGCCTTATGATGTGTCGTTACGTTATTACTTGACTGCGTTTTACAGAGAAGGTACAATTCCAAAACGCAACAAAGTTGCGGGCGTATTATATGAATGACAACTTGTACTTACATTGGAATCTACAGTTTTTCTACCTTGCAATCATAGGATTACAAGGTAGAAAAACTCCATTAAGTATAAACTTAATGGATGTTTATGTGGTCAATAAAAAATATATCCAAGATTAAGCTTGGTAAGTGGTTTAACTGCCAGTTTCAAGATTGCGGTCATAACTTAGAGGACTTGTAAATTTTGGAGAGAAATATTTAAATTTTCTAGACACAAGGGTGTCTAGTTTGATACAGCATTAATTATAATGCTTTATTTTTTACATTTATTATAGTAAAATAAATATTAACTGATTATTTCACATATGGCGTAATAATCTTGGTAAATAATTTAATCGGTAGTGTTGAACAGTGCTCTGAACATCATTTCATGTGGCAAATTCGAAATGGTGCACCCGCCTGTGCTAACGGTATAATCTGTCGAGGATCAGTTTATTGTACCGAATTCTTGCGAATTCCGACTTTCAGTATTACCAGGTAATACCTGGAATTAATCACGAGGGTTTCCATAGGGACGTGAAGGTTAATCTGACTTGGCACCTACTTTACTATTAATGGGTAATTGTAATCTACCTTTCATTACTAACGATTCCTCCGCACCAAACCAACAAAGTTGTACATGACTATGAAACTATAATATTATAGGTAACTGCTTTATTACCCATTGAATGTAAATCATCGCCTTGTAGACTCTTACATTGAATATAATTTGATAATGGAGTAACGAATAACTAACTTTATTGAATTGACTAAACAACAATCGTAGCAAATGTTGGCATAACAAACATGTACTTACGTGTGGCTTAATGCTAACAGCGCGATAAGGGACCACAAAGCCATGGTCTTTTTCGTACAAACACCTCTACCAGACTAAATCAAAATGAAGAGGTATCTTTAGCTAACCGGTCAGTGTTGTGTACACTCCGCGACACTGATCGCTTAGTCACAATTGTAACGGTAGATGTTTCGCGCGGTAAGGTTCAGTACATCTTCAAGATAACGTCAATTTCTTATGACATTATTACTTAACCCTTTATTGAGAGTGATATCGTGCATTTTGAAGTGTTTGTTATTATTGTTTATGTAACAACGTTTAGTGAGTAAATATAGTTTATTATTGTTACTATTCATCTGGATCATAAAACTACTTAACTACTTTTTTTAATGGGTGAAAATGAAATAATTCATTGGACTGCTCTGACGGCAGTCACAGAAAGAGCACTAGAGCAGGATGACAGGAAGAATATAAAGTGGAAATATTTTCCCATTAGGCAATATTTGTTTTGCAAAGCGATGTCCTTATACATATCTTTTACATATATACAATGTCGGTGGCAATGAAGCATATGGTCAGCCGTTAGTACTATTTCCTCCACTACTAGCGTTGCGTGTATAGACCCAGAAAAGTATTAAATTTTTTTGTAGAAGACAGCAGGAAAGAACTCTCTAAAACTATAATTTCCGCGACTATTTAGATAAAGGAGAGTATGAGAAATTTAATGAATTCCTATCAGATGGTGAGTGGTTCAATGTTACAATCCTTAATGATCGCAAGCGGTTCAATGGATAAATGAATTAAGTAAAATATACAATAAGTTTTATTATTGGTGCTTGTTAATTAATGCTCAAAGTAATTTTTTTTATAAATTTCACATGAAATGTCAAATGAACCTCTGACTACCGCGTAGCGTGATTTATGGCCTATGCAGTTTTGTTTTAAAGTATATTTTCCTTAATACTTGAAACGTCATATTTCATAGTAATTTAAAACTTAAATGTTTTAATATCAAGTTTCATCTAGCAAGCCTTGCATAACACAGAGGTAGTCCACTGAGGTGGCCAGAGAGTGAGTTAGAAGGATTCCTCGTGTGAGTACGTCTCGGACTTTCCACATCTCATGGTTGGCACATGTATAAAGAGCAACGGAGAAAGTCCGCTTCAATATATTTGTTGGCAAAAATCTCCACGGTTGATTGGCCCACCAACTGAAAAACAAAATTTAATATTTCATGTATGTAAATTGTAACTTTCAATCTAATTTGTTACTATATTTTAATAAGTAAATGTTTTTATACAGCAAAAAATAATTTATTAAGTTGGCTGTGGTTTCATAACTATCTGAGTTAGCTAGTAAACTGGTATACTAGCAAACTCAAATAGATATATGTAGTAGGTACTTGTTATCAATGTATGTTAAAGAAAGTTTAAAATTGGATTTTACGTTTGTACATAGTCAATAAGTCACATTTTTTGTTACTGAAACACACAAACACAAGAGGGCCTCTCTGTTAGAAAGTACTGTGTACTGGTGTACTGTTAGTAGTAACAATTGACTATATAAATAAATAAATAACCCTGGACAATAATTAACACAGTGCCATCTAGTCCCACTGTAAGCACAGCTTGTGTTATGCGTACTAGATAAGTGATATAAATAATTAGATATTTTTTTATACATGAATACATACTTTAAGTACATTATTTCGTCATTTGATGCCCGTGGTATCTTTTGAGCATTGCCATTCCTGAGATTCTGACTTATACGTATTTTTTATAGAATTGAAATGGCAAAGAAATAAGTGTCTGGAAGTAGGTTTCTGTTTTTGATAGAAAATATACTTGTGAATTCGAATAAGACATGATTGTTTGACAGTCACCAACGAATAAACTAATATGTTTTTTTCCTATCTAATATAATTGGACTGGCAATCAAGATAATGGTATGTTCGCCATTGTCAGTATTACAGGTAGTACTAAGATATCATATCTCTTATCCTGTAATTTCATCATCTTATTTCACTTTTATATACGAAACGAAGGTTACACTGCAAGCTTGATCTCAGCTGAAGTAGCTGTGACTGAGTTAACCCCTGTATACATAATAAGCCTTCTACTAATAAAGTTAGACATAGAAAGGTAATCTAGTAACAACGTGTAGCTACTTTCTTATGTAAAACAAAGTGTTACCTGAGGTAGAGTCCTTCGAATGTAAAGAACGTTATGGCTAGTACGAAAATGGGATAAACGAGTGGCATGACCACAAACAGGCAGAGTAACAAAGTGGCAATGAGCTTCAGGAAAGTAGGGAAAGGCGCACCGTAACGCCATAGTGTGTGAATATCATTTGCGAACTCTCGGACCAACAGTTTCACACGACCTAACCTCGACGCCGAGCGTAGCTGCTGAAGAATCATGGTCATTAGTCGTAATATGTATAATTAGACCGACGTAAACTGTAAAAACTCGTCTACGTGGATACGTCAGTCACCTATTCCAGCTACCAAATAGATAGCTTTGTAAGATGTGTTATGGTTGTAAGGATTCTATAAATTTCTTTTTATACATGTTTATAAATAAGAAATTTATAAAAATGGTGTAATATTGTAATTGTAAGTAATATACAATATTGTAAAATGTATGTACATTTTACAATATTACACCAGTTATAATATGTAGCTATTTGTTACTGCTTATAAATATTCATTATGAAATATATTACAGCTTTAATTTATATATTTATAACAATATTTAATTGAGGAAAAGAAACGAAATTACAGAATAAGAGACACGACATCTTAGTTCTCATCTCTCAATGTGATGTCTGTAGTTCATGTATCCCATCAAAAACATAAATGTGAAATGATAGCCGATTCTCATCTCTCAATGTGATGTCTGTAGTTCATGTATAGGATACATGTAAATAGCCGACGCTTATATCTTACCAGCAGATTGGGTGTTAGCTTGTTCGCCATTCCTATTATATAAAGAAACAAATAACTTTTATTTATAAAATACCGGCAAACAATTACTTAAATCGTTTACAAATGAATATAAGACTATCAGATTAATATTTGCTATCGATTTGCGTTATCATAATCGTTATTACCATTTAGGTATAGGTACTAATATACACACTATTACATACACATATATTACATTTTCAAATGGACTGAGTGGGTATCAAACCACTACGTTTTATATTTTTATAAAGATTATTTTATAACGTTGATACCTCCGACATAATGATAATTACCTATCTACAATGTTTCTACTGTAATATATGTGTTATATATTGCATCTATAGATATATTCTTATTAATTGTATCTATATTACTGGTTTCAAATTTACATACTTGAACCATAAACTTTTTATTTGTTCGGAGATATGGTTTCATACTGGTTCAGACTATAGTGAAGAAATACTGTTAGAAAATAAGCAGTTACATAGCACATCTTTGATAAAAATGGCCATGGTATTCAAATAAATTTCCTTATACAATGTAGATGCTTAAACTGTTGTATATTACATTTTAAATTTATCAGTGTACGACGCAAGTTTGTTTATATTACTGACACTGTCACTTTTTCTACCTTTGTCCCATTTTTTTCTAAAAGTGTAGGCAATGGCCGCTCAACCGTACTGCCGTGTTATTTTAGATTTAACTTAATTAAACGAATAGTAACGGGGGTAGTAAATAAAAAGTAAATTATCAGTTGTTTTATATTGATATAACATAGTTCTTGTTAGTTCGGACTAACACGTACTACTACTGTACTTTTTTCCGATGTGTTTAGAGTAATTTATTATATAATTATATTTTAACTTGTATTATTTCTTATGCATGTAAATTGTTTAATTGTAACCAATAATAAAATGCTTTTACTATTTACACGACGATTCAAGTTTTCCACATCTAGATGATACGTTGAGTATAATATATCGGGTCATTATCTTAAAATTTCTCTCAAGACAACAATGACATTTACATAAAAGGAGATGTATTAACTTCCTTCAACTTCAATAGTCTGGTCTTGGTACAATTTACACATAAGTAAATAATACGTACATACTTAGTATTTATTACAATAATGGTTTTAATAAAATACCTTTAATTTGCAACCAACGATCTCGTACATGGATAATATCCACGATTACTTTAGCGTTTTATTTACTTTAATAATAAAGTACTACTAATGTACTCTGGTTTCCTGGTTAATTACCACTGAGAAACACACTGGACAAATTAGATACTTCCTGCATCTCCCTCAATTACTCATAGCGTCTAAAAATAACTTGTATTACTAAATTAAGGAAGTAAGTGAAATTATAAATAAGGTACCTACTAGCCCAGTGGGTGGGTCCTACCAAATAGTTTAGTAGACCCTCGTCATATATATTTGGTTAATTCTCCTCCATTAAACAAAAGCAGACTACTTTATCAGTCATTTTTACCGCATGCCCGAACTAACTGCCAAATATATTATTTGCAATATCAGCTTTATACCTAATGCTTAAATATAATATTTATTATAATAGTCTGTTCGTCGTAATTTGATCGCTGAATTTCGATGCATGTCGAATATTTATTATTATTTATTGATACAAGTATAGTGTATAAAAGGAGCATATTTCCTGTATCTGTAATTGTCGGATGATTATTAGGGTTCTTAAAAATTGATACCAAACGAAATTGAGCTAAAACTTTTGCCGTTTGCCTTCGTCTTCGTTTATATTTAAAACCGGTATATTTCGAAAACTAATACCATCGATTTAAAATTATTGTTCGTCCAATTATATTGGGTATTTTTGTACATATTTGTTACTTCTTCTATTCTTTGACTATCGCCTGTTGCTTAAATTATGTAATATTCTCTTATCTGTGTTTAAAGGTTTACGTATCAGTCAATGCCCCTATTTGATACAACAATTAAATAGAAAATGGGGATTGAAAAATCAAAAAGATTTGTTATGGCTGATTTTAGCGAGATGCAGTGAAAGAATGTGTCTGTGTGTGTTTGTACAATCCAAAATTTTAATTATTTTTAATAATTTTTAATAATTTTTCTCAAATTTAAGACATAGACGTGTTGCCGACAACACGTCTATGACTTTTGGTGTTTTAGGTGTTTACATATAGATCACGGTAACGGTTTACTATGCAATGAGCTGTATGCATGTTTGTGGTAAAAAAGCTGTTCACTTTTTGATTGGCGATAAAAAATGCAAAAATAGTAATTCGATTTTATTTCTGAATTTTCTAAAGTGTAAAATTAAAACAATCACAGTTGTTAAAATTATACATGTAGGCTGTTATAACTAAAATTATTTCTGAGAAATCATCAAGGGCCTTACAACACGAACATAGTTATGCGGTTTGTTTATTAAAATTCGCTTTAAGTTGAGAAAATCTTAATCATATTAATATTTAACATCTATCAAGTATATTCATTAGTATATAAAATCTGTTGTATCTCTTTGTTCGGAACCAACGAATAACTGCTGCTCGCACTTCACTAGTTTTATTTCAAAGAAAGATACTTTTCCTTATAATTTAAATCGCACCTCGATGAAATGAAGTTTACAATATCCGCATATTTCTCCTTTCTTATACAGTCGACCTGAGAAAAAAGGTTATTTTTAAGAGATTTACACGCTAATAATTTGGTGCCGTGATTGAATCATCAATATCAATATCAATATCGCCAAACCATCAATATCGATATTGAGGGTTTAGATTCAGCATTATAAAAAAAATCCATATTGAATATCATCGATGATTTTTGGCAGTGCAGTGTAGTTCGTATTATGGCCAGCTCGGAAGCCTAAGAGGTGATTTTTACGAAAGTAAGATGTTGTTGGTCATGAATAAGTCGTTTAAGAACTTTAGAATGAAAAGGAAGTATAGAAATAGGTTAATAGTAATCAGAAAATAGGTAGGGTTTAATTTTTTGGGATGGGGAATAATATAGGCATCTTTCCGTATGGAAATGAAAACACCTGAGTATGTTATTTGTTGAAAATTAAGGTCGTTACTAGAAGGATAATATCAAGCACAAGATGGTACGTCCAACACCATCAGTACTCATAGCGTCTGATTTTATTGATAGCAAGCTCCTCACAGTATCCCATTTAGTAACTAGATCAAAATTGAAGTATAGAAAACCTGGGGTTGGTGTGGTAGAGAAGCTATTTAGAGGATTTTTTTATTAAAAATAGTGAAAAAACAAAATTGTGATTTTTACAACCCCTGAAGATTTAAGAAATTTCCAGACCTTAGCCGGTTTTCCATTTTCTATAGATGAATAAATGAATGTATGTTATCTATAATTTATATTTTGCAGACTGTACTTAATGTATAAACTATATCTTATTTATTAACGCTACAATGAATGATAAGTGATATTTTAACAGCGGATAAACTTATATGAAAGCCAGTAGACTTCATTGTGCAGCAGTGTTCAGACCTCTTTACAAAATGATAATATTTACGTTGTCAGTTATTGCTTTATTATTGTGTTTCCTTCATGTGTTATTAAACTATAATACAAAAGCTCGAATGCTCAGGAAAATTCCGGGTCCACCGGAAACATTTATTTTAGGAAATGGACCGGAAATCGTACTTTCTTCAGGTGATACTCTTCTTTGCAATTTAATTCAAAACAAAATAACAGTATTTGTCTCTAATCTACATTTTACTTAATATTTTTTTTTTATATTTTGTGGCAATACATAACGAAAACAAAGTAGTTATAATTAGTAACCTAGGATTCCCTTAAGTGAAAGAATTTCTCAAATTAGTGCAGTGGTTTTGGAGTTACTTTCCTCGTAACATAATCTAGTTTCTCGTTTTCTATATAATATTCGTATAAATGGATAGTATTAATAATATTTTTATTATATTTTTATTATATTCGTTCTCGTAGTTTTAATTTTTAAAATAATATAGTGTTTAATCATTTTAATAAAAAAAATCTGTATATTTCTGTATATATGACAATTTTTTTAGACCCTAACTTAAAAAAAAAATCATATTTACAGAAATATACAGAATTTTTTTATAGTGTTTAGGTACCTATATAAGGCATCCCTGTTATAAACAGAAAATTTCTCGACCAATAATAATTTTGTGATTATTTATTAATGAGAGAAGGATCCATTTAATTTTCATTGTCATGGTAAACAATGAGTTGTTAGTGTTTACCTACCTGTTTAAAATTTCATGTTGAATTTTATCAAATCCTTTTCAATTCATTTGTTTTCATTCAATTAATGAATGCCTATATCTACATTGTAAGTGACCTTATAATCGAGGGGTCAAATTATATCTCACGATTCAGTTCACGGATTTTGATAATAGTTACACAATTTTTTAATTAGTTTAAGTCCATATCTTCCATCATACCTATTGTATGATAAAATTCGTTCAACTACGTTCAACTGTTTTCACGTAGTGACATAAGAAGCAGATATGATAATTAAAAACTTAGCTGAGTAGAATGTTGTTGGTTATTTTAGTATTTCTAGTTTCTTTTCACAATGTCTTAATAATATTAGAAATGCAAAAGTTTGTAAGTACGGATTATCACTCTTTAACGCAAAAACTACTGAACGATTTTGATGAAACTTTACAGTAATATAGCTTATGCATCAGAATAACATATAGGCTATTTTATTTTATTTATCACGGGTAAAATCGCGGGCACAGTTAGTATAATATATAGTTAACTCTACACTTACTTTATTTTTTTGTGTCAACAGTCAATAATACTTACAATAGGTAAGCCGGATGGTTCTGGTAGCATTACTAACTTTGAGATATGAAAATGTACAACAAATATTACCGCCACTTCTATAGCTCATCCTAAAATCTGATATGTTTTATAAAGCATTATGTTTTATAACTCATAACAAGATAGATCTACTGCAATTAGCTCCTACGGTATTTTATTATTTATCGTTATCCATATAACTGGTATAACTGGTATAACTGGTAAATAAAAAAAGGTAACTGACATAGTGATCTATCAACGCACAGCCCAAACTACTGGACGGATTGGGCTGAAATTTGGCATGTAGATAGATGTTATGACGTAGGCATCCGCTAAGAAAGGATTTTGATTAATTCTACCCCCTAGGGGATAAAATAGGCGATAAAAGTTTGTATAGAACTTTGTCAATTTTAAACCGATCGGGCTTAGACTTTGCATGCATAAAGCTACTATGACGAAAGTTCCTGAGAAAGGATTTTGATAAATTCCACCCATAGGGGGATAAATTAACGCGAGCGAAGCTGCGGGCGATAAGCTAGTTAATTTATATATGATTTGTCATTAGATTTACAATCTCTCATCAATATTATCTCTCCTCAATTTATAGCTTCTTCAACATCTTCTGTTTTGGTCTATGATGGTCTATATCTTATGATATTTATGGCAATGTTAGTACAGTATATGTCTTAGTCCAAAATAGAGAACGCATATCTTAAATAATATACATAGAAACCAACCAGACCGATACTACCAATCATATTGATGAATATATCAAACCCGCGACAAACTCAAGTAAGGCGGTGTGTTAAACCGCTAGACCCCCGAGGTAAGTTATGTTATTTCTATTTAATAAAAAAACTTTCATTTTACAGCTGAATTATTTCAATTAGGAAGAACATATGCAAACAGATGGGATGGTATCTACCGTTTTTGGGCATTTCCTTACGGAGCTATAAATATATATAATCCAGACGACATTGAGGTAGGTTCGACACATAATATATTACTATTTATTAAATCAAGCTTCAAAATACATGTGACAATATCTTTTATCCCGACTGATGTTGACGGTCCCAGTAGTCTATGAGCGCACTTAGCATGTAAGTGTGCATAGCTAAATATTTTATTTAAGGTTTAAAGCCATATAGTTAATTGTACGGACAATACTTATCTAATAATTATTCTTCTTTTGATTTTAATAAAAAAAAATAATCGTAAAATTTCATTCCAGACAATAATTTCGACCACGAGATACAATGAAAAGAGCGTGGTTTATTCGTTTTTAAAGGACTGGTTGAAAGAAGGCCTACTTGTAAGCCATGGTGGGTTTCCTAATGTGACAATGAGTCAAATATATTGTAGATACGATAACGAAAATGTATTCAGAGTATGAAAGTGTATACTGACAATGTATGTCTAAGTATGATAAATAGACATCTGCGTGGGTCCCTCAGTCTCACCTGCAAGCTGCGTAGTATTGAAATAGTCGCTAAGCAGCTTGATGTTTGTAATTGACATTGTCATTTATTTTTTAGGCAATAAATGGCATCAGCGCAGAAAAATTCTAACGCCTGCATTCCACTTCAATATTTTACGTGACTTTTGCATTACAATAGAAAAGAACAGCCAATACTTGGTCAATACTCTAGCGAAGGTCTCGGGAGAAGTGGTGGATATCATCCCAATTATATCTGAATATACTCTCGCCACCATATGCGGTAAGACATTTATATTTTTAAAATTATATACTTGGTTCCTAATATTTTCATAATACAGTGCATCATTAACTGATATAACGAACTATAATACAATGATTTCCTCGATTTTACAAATTGCTCATAAGAATCAATGCAAAATATATTAATTAAAATTTTTTGTCTTACATACAGAAACTGCAATGGGTACACAATTAAATGAAATATCCACTTCGAAAGGAAAAAGTTATAAAGATGCGATATATGAGATTGGCCATTTAGTCACTCATAGATTTGTTTCCGTGCTACTGTATGCAGATTTTATGTTTAATTTGTCATCCTTTGGAAGGAAACAAAAAAAGCTTTTAAATATCATTCATAACTTCACCGCAGAAATAATAAAAGATAGAGAAGAATATATAAATAAAAACGGAGTTCAAAGTTACGATGTTAATGATAATAGTGTATTTGAAGACGACATGTTTCTGAACAAGAAAAGAAAGAAAAGAGCTATGTTAGATTCAATTATTTTAGCAAAGCAAGAAGGTTTGATAGATGATGCTGGTATTCAAGAGGAAGTTGATACATTTATGTTCGAAGTAAGTAACTGGAAAAGTCGTTTTCTTTAAATAAATGTTAATATCACAAAATTGTCAATAAAAAAAATATTTTCCTCTGTATTAATATATTTTATAATATAACGGCAAAAGTAGCGTTAAATTAATTTTTAAATAAGTAAACAAGCAGATATATTCTAACTGGACTTTTTAATACGACTGTTTATGATAAATAATATTTACACATATTACAAAAAATTGAATCTTAGATTAAGTAGGTATATGTACAATCATATTGTATATGGCCCTAAGAGTCACAGCTATTAAAATCAATCTCCTTATTAAAAATGTTGAATCTTATTTTATAGAGCTACAAAGTACAATGTACTTATGTTTAATATTAAATAATTGTACACAGGGCCATGACACGACCGCCGCTGGATTAGCGTTTTTTATAATGTTGCTTGCAAATAATCCAACAATACAGGTAGTATTATATTTTCTATATACTTGTAATTGGTGAATATGAACCGCATGAAACTTATGAATACGGAGTAAGTGAAAATGTCTCCTTGATTTGCAGCATTAATTTTGCACTTTAGTGCATCTGCCTTCACCAAAGTGATAGGCGTTTGTACATACAAGAGTTAGTTCTTTTATTTGCTGCGAATATTCTATTACATAGACATTATCAACGACATTATAATATGAACTTTACATGGATATTTTTTTCCGAGATGACATTAAAGATAAATAAAACATGTACTATGTAGACATCATTGTACATACTTGTTATGGTTATAGATGTTAATGATTTGTATACATGATGTATATGTATATATGATCAGCACTACAGTCATTTCGTCATAACGTGATGCCTGTGGTAGGTACCACTTACGCGTTACTATTCGCAGGTATCTAACGTGTACATCATTCATTACACGTACATGTCATTATCAAAGTCGTCGTCATTGTGTCTATATCTTTTGAAAATACTTCAAATAACTAAAAGAAAACAATAGTCTCAGTAAATACCTAGGCAATTAAAAGGAGAATTGATATTCTTAAAAGCTAAAGTTATCATGTTATAGGATAAAATATACAAAGAACTAAAAGAAGTATTTGGCGAATCATCGCGGCAAGCAGACATAGACGATCTATCCAAATTGAGATATTTGGATAACTGCATCAAAGAATCGCTTCGTCTATACCCACCAGTGCATTTTATTAGTCGTCAATTGAATGAAACTGTCAAGTTACGTAAGTATACTTATTAATTCAATTTCTATACTTACGTAAATCTACAAATGATACCTATGAAGCAAAGTCGTTGTTCTCCGCTCTTTATTTTATCGTTTACCTACTTCTAAGTTTTGCAACGGATTTTATACAGTTTTCATCGTTATTATGAGAATTTCATTCTGAATATTTAAAATCTTTACATAGTACAAAATGAACTCGCTTCCGTTGTCTATTCGCTTAGATCCTTTAAAGTACGCAACGAAATTTAATGACATTTTAAGCATTAGAGTGATGCAAGACGAAGGTTTATATGTATAATACATGTATACCTGTGCGAATCCGGTCTTGCAGCTAGTATAGTATATATATTAATTATGCAAAATATGTCATACACAGTCATATATAAGCTTGCGCAGAGTCTAGTACAATTATTTTGTGTAAACCCTTTAGTAGTACCACAGATAATATGTAGTACCATAGTATACTTATAGCTGTACGACCATCGACATCATTGCTAGCAGTCAAAGTGCATTGCTGAATTTTGGCCTAACCTGGCTATATGTAATAGCATACAATATAGCGCATATGATTCATGAAGCACCATAACACTTGTTCTTCTCGTTTCAGGCAATTACACGGTTCCATCGGGAGTGATGTGTCATATACATATATACGACTTGCACCGACGAGCAGATTTGTTCCCAAATCCTTTGGAGTTCGACCCTGACCGTTTCCTGCCGGAGAACAGCGTGGGTCGACATCCATATGCATACATACCGTTCAGTGCGGGCCCTAGAAATTGCATAGGTGAGTTTAACGGCTCTGTGGTCCAGCGGTTCAGCATACCTACCTTGTACTTATAGTCGCAGGTTCGATTCCTCGTACGATTTGTATTCATGAGTATGTTCGTTTGTAATGGTCGGGGTGTTTTCTATTTATATTATGTACCTATCTATAAAACATATTGTGAAATATATAATGGTGCATCCATTAATTTGATGATAGACAAGAAGCTTGTGACGAATATCTAATAAAAAATTGAGTCTTCGCTATTTTTATTACCAGATAATTATTAGTAACAAAGCCATTCACAATCAAATACATGATTAACATGTTGATGGTATTTAAAATGACTATGATATTTAAATTGACTATTACCTATCTATATTATTGTTACGTTATATATATACCTGTGACAAGGATATATGTATATGTACATTCGTGTATTTGGAATAAATATAAGCATGACATATTAATTCTCCGGAATAGCATGCACATATGGTATGACTGGTATCACATATAACATGACGTCGTTGTGCTGTTCATGATTACTTCTCTGTTCTGTGTTCATGTGTGTAGGTGATGGTTACTATTTCTCACCTGGTGGACAGTCTGTTTGCCATTAAAATTACTTATCTAATTCTTTAAGGATACTTACCAAATGACAGTAGTATAATTTTCAACTTGTATCAGTGATTAGAAATTAGAAGGAATGAATAATTTTGTTTTAGGTCAAAAGTTTGCAATGATGGAGATGAAATCTACAATTTCCGCTTTGTTACGGCAGTACGAGTTCTTTCCTGTGACCAAACCCTCCGATTTACAGTTGAAGAGTGATTTAGTTTTAAGAAATTGTGGTCCAGTTTATGTTAAAATTGTAAATAGAAATAAATAATATCAGACAAGAAAACATACTGGATATTTTTAATATATCTACATTTGTAAGCAAAAATAAAAATAGAAACAATTGCCGTATGAGTTTAAGCGCGTCGTTTAAAACAGGCGATTCAATATAAAAAAATCTTGTAGGTATATTTGTTGCAAAACTTGGATTAAACATATCGACATGTTTAATTCAAGTTTTGCAACAAATATATAAAAATATTGATAAAGTTTACTGTTTAACGTTTGGTTAGTGTTATTTTATTACATGGTCCTAATGGTCTCGTTTTTTTATTATAAATAAAAATATTTATAAAAAAACGTTTACGTAACACATAAGATACAAGCGGAAAGATTTTATTTTTTTGTATGATTGTAATGACTTTGTGATAATATCCTTGAAAATTGATATATGCATATGTCACAATAAAACAATCAGTCAACACCACACTTTGTTTTGTAAATAAATAAATATATAGGGTATTTAAGAAGGTATTAAAGAAAAAGATAAAACTTTTTCTACTAGACAATTCCTAGCATTTATATATTATTATTATTTTTTGAAAGCCTTTGGTCGCTTAGGTAATGGTCCGCGTCAACAGTTATTTGTATTTGAATTGATATTGATATACATTTTGATTTATTTATTTTATTATTTTTTTCTTCTATTATTTTTATTAAGAATTAGTTTAATTTAAATTTTGGTAACATTAAGATTGTGGAGTGAATATGTCGCTGCACGCGATCGCACCACCACTGGGCTGCTACTGAAAATCAGTGTTTTGCTCGCTGAGCAAATTGTTCACTGAGTAGCTCAACCCTTTCGTATCCCTGTGGCACCTAATATATATTTTAATGTTTATTTTATGTGGAAGTTAAAGTATTATGTGTTGTATTTTTTTTATTATAATTATTTACTATTCTTATGTGTTATTTGGATTTTGTTTGTACTATCTTTGTTATCGGGATACGAATAAAGATTTTTATCTATCTATCTATCTATCTATATATGAACATTTAATTTTTGTTCACGGTTGTTTACAAATCTACGCATTATAAAAATGGCACTGCCTTAAATAATATTACGATGAAAGAAAATATTATTTAAGGCAATGGGGATTTATTAATTAAGGAAAGATTTATTTGAATACGGACATTAAATTGAAACTAAAAACTCCAACCGTGAAATCCAAACCGATATAATTATTGCTAGATCTTAGCTATTCCAGAGATAAACATAAATAAGCTGGACAACTCATACAGCGCCGTCTAGTCCCAAACTAACCAGAACTTGTTTGTTATGAGCCAATCCAGTATAAATAATCATGCTTATATATGAACACAAATGTTTGTATTGTGCGAGCGAACCCGGGGTCATCGAAAGTAAGGTAAACTGCTAAATTGCTGAGTCCGTGATATTGATGTACCTATCTATATAGGCTATTTTTGGCTATAGGGTACGACATAAGTATGTGATATTGCATAGGTACAACGATTAAGTTGTTATTTTAAGATTTTTCTGTTTAGTAGTAAGGTTAAATAAAACAATTCTGTGTGGTGAAATTACATGGATCGTAATTAGTCATCGAGTTAAACTAAGATAATAATAATAGTAACACGTTGATCTCCTATATGTAACATAATTTCTTATATTACTTAGAACTAAACTTAACCTTCGTTAGACAATAACAAAATTAACTATACGACGCGCCCTGATATTTTATTAGAGAATGTAAATAAATACATTGGATTGGATAAAAAGGCAAATGCAATTATGTTATATGCCATACATATGAATTTGTGTATGTTCGAATTGGTTCAATTGTATCATTTGTCAATGTTTGTGATCACTTAAGGTCTCATTTTTTTCGTTAATAATTTAATTATCTATGGTAATAAAATAATTTAAACGTAAAATGTGAGTAGTGAGTTGGCTCCGGTACTAACGCGTCTTTTCCGGTACTGCTACTCTACAGGTGTAGTCCCGAAACTTTGGAAGACGGCTTTGGTTCATCCAATCCCTAAGAAGGGAGATCGCTCAGATCCAGCTAACTATAGGCCCATAGCCATCACCTCCTTATTCTCAAAGACCATGGAGTTGATTGTCAACCGTCAACTCCTACGATACCTAGAAGTGAATCAGTTGATTTCTGATCGTCAGTATGGCTTTCGCCAGGGTCGCTCAGCTGGTGATCTTCTAGTGTATTTGACACATCGATGGGCAGAGGTTATTGAGAGTAAGGGGGAGGCCCTATCTGTTAGTCTGGATATTGCGAAGGCCTTTGATCGGGTTTGGCACAAAGCTCTTCTTTCAAAGCTACCATCCTTCGGGTTGCCTGCGAAGTTATGCAAATGGGTCGCCAGCTTTCTCGCAGATCGGAGCATCAAGATCGTTGTCGATGGTGCTTGCTCCGACCCACACTCTGTGAATGCTGGTGTTCCACAAGGCTGTGTGCTGTCTCCGACTCTGTTCCTTCTACATATCAATGACATTTTACAAATCAACAACATTCATTGCTATGCGGATGACAGTACCGGAGATGCCTTGTACAGCGGCCATGCTAATATGTCGCAGGCAAAAGTTATAGAGTACCGGAACAAACTTGTGTCCGAAATCAAAACTTCACTCCATCAAGTTTCGGTTTGGGGTCAGGAAAATTGTGTTCAATTCAACCCCAAGAAGACACAAGTTTTGCGGTCATTTCCAAATGACCGCAAAACTGAACGTCACTGGATATACTGGATCAACGCCAAGGACCTCGAGATTTGGTGACCTCGCTTCACATCAAGGAGAGTGTCTTGAAACTGAGGAGATACGATAAATGGAATCTTTTTAGCGGTAAACGCGCAAACTTGTGTCTTCTTGGGGTTGAATTGAATTGAACAGGACAAGGCTAAAATAGCCTCAAAAAAGCTTGGTGTGCTCAGTAGAGTGGGACGGTATTTCACGGCGGCCCATCGCTTGCAATTATACAAGGCGCAGATCCGGCCGCACATGGAATACTGTTCTCACCTCTGGGCGGGAGCACCACAATATCAACTACTTCCATTTGACCGCATTCAGAACCGAGCAGCCAGAATCATTGGTAATCAACGTCTATGTGACAGACTCGACCCATTGGCTTTGCGGCGTGATATTGCATCTCTGTGCATTTTCTACCGCATATATCACGGGGAGTGTTCTGAGGAATTGTTCAGATTAATACCAGCTGCTGAGTTTCACCACCGTACCACCCGCAAGAAACTGAAATACCATCCTGATCATCTGGATGAATGGCGGTCTTCCACCGTGCGGTTTTCTAGAAACTTTTTGCCTCGCACAACCACATTATGGAATCACCTTCCAGCAATGGTATTTCCGAACCGATACGACATTGAAACCTTCAAGAAAAGAGCTTATTCCTTTTTGAAAGGCCGACAACGTACTTGCAATTCCCCTGGTGTTGCGGGTGCTCATGGGCGGCGGTAATCACTTACCATCAGGTGAGCCGCATGCTCGTTTGTCCCCTGTGTTATAAAAAAAAAAAGTCCACTTTAAGGGAGTAATGAAGAGTATTATTATTATAATTTTACATTTATTCTTTTGCGACATCTTTTATTTCCGGATCCGTATTCAACCTACGTAAGTTTCGGTTAGGTACCCGAATTACCACTGAGAGACAGACTCACTGGTCAAATTGGACTGTTCGTACATCAAACTCATTACTCAAAATAGAAAATAACTTGTATTATGAAGTTCAAACATCCGCATATTTTTGCATTCTTATACAGTCCACCTTATAATTTGGAGCCGTGATTGAAGGTTCCATGAATTCGAATGAAAAAAGTGCTGTATGCCGCATCTCAAGGAACTTCATGTTTTTTTTTACATGACTTATATTATAAATTAATTATTTCTTTTGATTTTTGTATCAAAGGACAGTTTAATAGTATACAATACACAACAAATATCAGCAATACTAATAACAGTATCTTCAACATGTCGTACAAGAGTTAGAGAGAGAGAGTAGAGCGCGCAAGCAAAACTTTGGTGTCGACAGGCAAGAAGTCACTTAATTTTCCGAGTAAGGCTGCAGTAACGAAAATTTTGAGACTCACTTCTGTGAACAGTCCAACACAAGCGTCCTGTCGATGTGGATGCAAAGGTTGACATGCATTATACTTAATGCATACTACGTCCAACACTGTCCTAAGAGTTTTGACGACGTCGGTGGTCTAGCGGTCTTACGTCCGATGGTTGCGGCTTCGATTCCTCGCACGGGCTGTACAAACATTTGTATTCATGAGTATGATTGTTTGTATCGGTATGGTTGTTTAGCTTTAGCTAGTTTCACTTGGGTCTAGATGGCGCTGTGTGAATTGTCTTGAGATTATTATTATATTATTAAGGGTGTTCCAATTAATGTTTGCTATATACCTCAAAAACTAAGAGCATCGTTATTGGTGGTTCAATGTTACACCAAGACGTTTGAAGATAAGTTATCTTCAAACGTCTTGGTCTTAATGTCATCAAATGAGGCTTGCAAATAGGTCATCTATATAAAGGTATAGTAGATGCATGGTAATGGAATTAGTAAAAAGCGCAAAAAGGAGCGGAGATAAGACCCTGAAGAACATCTGCAGAAAGCTATTGTAAACTCATATATATTGCCAATAGGCAACTTTGAGAATAGAATGCATACGTGCCAATAGGATACGATAATTCAATATTCGGTTTATGACGGTCTGATAATTTAAATTTTGCAATGAAATACTTCTTTCATTGCTGAAATCAATTGCCAAATTCATAATCGATGATTTTTGTGCTATGGCCAGCTCGAAAGCATAAGAGGTGATTTTTATGAAAGGAATTTGTTGAGTTGGTCATGAACAAGTCGTTCAAGAACTTTAGAAAGGAAAGGTAAAGTATAGAAATAGGACGGTAATCAGAAAAAAGAAGGGTTTAATTTTTGGGAAGGGAAATAATATAGCCATCTTTCCACATGGAAGAAAAATACTTGAGTAAGTGATTTGTTGAAAATTAAAGTAATTACTAGAAGGATAAGATAGATCAATACAATCAACACAATAAGTACCCATAGCGTCGGATCTTATTGAAAATTAGGGGTTGGTGTGGTAGAAAGAAGATTTAGGGTATTTCTTTTAATGTTGTTATCAAAAACAGTAAAATTATAAAATTGTTTTTTACAACCCTAGCCATAGCAAAATTGTGAATTTTAAAATTATATCATTTTCTACAGGTGTATATTATGTGAAACGTATATTTTGCAGACTGTACTTATTGTAACTATATATTTTTTATTAACGTGACAATGAATGATAAGCGATATTTTAACAGCGGATTAACTTATATGAAAGCCAGTAGACTTTATTGTGCAACAGTGTTCAGACCTTTTTACAAAATGATAATATTTACATTGTCAGCTATTGCTGTAATATTGTGTTTTATTCATGTGTTATTGAACTATAATAAAAAAGCTCTAATGCTCAGAAAAATTCCAGGTCCACCGGAAACATTTATTTTAGGAAATGGACCGGAAATCGTACTTCCTTCAGGTGATACTTTGCTTTATAATTTAATTCAACATAACGACAGCTCTAAGTTGCATTTTTATTATTATACATTTTTTTGTAGATTTGTGTCAATCAAAATAGTTATATCTTATAATATGTATGTATGTATTTATGTAATTTCTCGTAATAAAATCCATTTTCTCTCTGTCTTTATAATTTAATTTTTGATAATAATAAATGTAAAATTGTTACTATATTATATTTTCTTTTAAATTCATGAATGTTTAAAACAATACATTGTTTAATTATAGTAATAATCTTAAAATTTAAATCTGTAATTATTACTATCGGTATATTAAAATATACCTTTTTGTTAAAATGTCAACTTTCTGTGATTTTTTTAGTATTTAGCTATCTAACTAGATTATACATACATAATAAGATATAAACTATAAATATATGGAACAAAAATTTTCGTATAGAATTTACTATAATTTCATTATAATTAACCTACTACTACCTAATTCAGGCATTATCAATTGGATCTATAACTTTTAAATTCATTAGTTTTCATTAATTTCTTTTTTTTTTTAATTAATTTCATTTCATTCTTATAATAATCTAGGAACACGTAAACACCGCCATCTAGTCCCAAATTTGGTAGAGCTTTGTGTTATGTGTTATAGACAGCAGATGGATTTCATTGAATATTATAGGTATCTATTTTTTAAAATCTTTATTGCACAATAAGAAGTGTTCAAAAGTATCTATTATAAATGATTTGCTTATTTCATTGCCAATAACACAAAATTACACTTTTAAAAACATGAATATACTATAATACCATCTTTCAGATAATTAGTTACGAATTTGTATAAAACCTTAACATGATAGAAATATTATTGTAACACATTTAATATGTACTATTCGAATCGCAATTGGCTGTTAAAAATTATCCCCAAATTTCGTGTTTCTTCTATATTTTGATTTATGAAATTTATTTTAATATTAGTGGAATTATCTTAGACCTATGTACAAAACGTGTGTCATACATAAACCATCCAAATCGATACATTCGTACAATCGCGTGTCGCATTCATACAATACATTTGTATCGTGGTTGTATCTCGCGGGGATTAAACCCGCGACCAGCGCTAGTTAAGCGGTGCCCTATCCTACCTACACCAGTTATGGCTTTTTAAAAGAAAAACTTTCTTTTTACAGCTGAATTATTTAAATTAGCAAGAACATATGCAAACAGATGGGATGATATCTACCGTTATTGGGCATTTCCGTACGGAGCTATAAATATATATAATCCAGAGGACATTGAGGTACTTAGTCACATAATTTATTATTAATAAAATATGAATATGAAGTTACAAAATAAATTAGATAATATTTATTGTGTCCTAGTAAGTCCTTGTGGGAACACAAGGAATCTTGTGTCCCGTCTGATGTTACCGGCTCCAGTAGTCTATGAACGAGATACCTGATACGTCAAGTGCGCGTAGCTAAATATTTTATTTATAGCAATTTTGTTAATTACGAGTATACGACCCTTACCTAATTATTCCCAGTACTTCGACGAAATTCGAGCATACTTTCACGTTCAGTAAGGCTAATTGACTCTCAATTTTATTTGTGTGTCAAGTAGGTAGTGTGTGTAATTATTTTTTATTCATTTAATAATGTATTTTTGCGCATAATAAAAAAAAAATTAGCATTCTGCACTCCTTCTTTGTTTAATGACTATACAGCCCAATTTACATAATAACTTCTTAAATTATAGCGTATGTTTTAGTTTGAAGAATAAGTTACATTACTGTAAAGTTTAATCAAAATCTGTTCATTAGTTTCGTTACTCACAAAACTTCGCATGTATAATATATTATGATAAGTGTGCCAAATTTCATACTCCTCCGTCCGCGCAATTTTCGAAAAGATGAGTACAAAGCTTCTGTTTAGCGTATTAATATAATTAGATCGAATTCAATAAAGAAAGAATCATAAAATTTCATTCCAGACGATAATTTCGACCACGAGATACAATGAAAAGAGTGCGGTTTACTCGTTTTTGAAGGATTGGTTGAAAGAAGGCCTACTTGTAAGCCACGGTGGGTTTACTAATGCATAAGTAAAATGTATTATAAATACGTTCTGTAATGAAAATGTACTGGATGGGTACCTCACTCTCACTTGCAAACTGCTTGGCCATTGAAATAGTCGCCAAGGAGCTTCCATTGTAATTTGGTACTATTGAAGGGAGGATATAAGGCAGTAAAATTACAGAATGAGGAGGCATAATGTTTAATTACCCCGGAATAGCTACACATGATAACGCAATGTCTATGATGCTGTTCATGGTTATAGGTGACGGTTACTACTTACCGTAATGTGGGTAATGACCCACTTGTATTGCTTGTTTGCCATTTTCATTGTAATAAATAAATCTAATTAATCTATCTAAAACAAAGGAAATCGAAGGCAACAAACACTGTCATTCATTTTCTAGGCAATAAATGGCATCAGCGCAGAAAAATTCTAACGCCTGCATTCCATTTTAACATTCTACGTGAATTTTGTGTTACAATAGAAAAAAACAGCCAGTACTTGGTCAATACACTAGCAAAGGCCTCGGGGGAAATGGTGGATATCATCCCAATACTCTCAGAATATACTCTCTCCACCATATGCGGTAAGATTTCAACGTATTTATTTATATTTTATTAACTATTAAATAAAATCCATAAGAAAATTTCCATTGATAAAATAACCCCAATATTTATAAATGAATAATATAACGTCATCATTGTTATCCGTCATCATCAGATAAGATCATGGGATAGTCAGAGCCTTAACAACAGTCGACATAGTGGTGAAGGCAACACATGACATGCCTACATTTTGTTAGATATATCTTAATCTAACGTATCAGGAGTCTAGAGACGTCTCTAGGATTTAGTTAGGCATTTACAATACCGTAGAGTCAGTCAGAAATATAAATTAACTCGCAAAGTTTGTAGGTGTCAGACAAATTTGAACTCACGACCTTACGTATTGTCAGTCCTGATAGTAAACCCCTAAGCCTACTCGATTAATATTTTGGTTGTAAACAACATATTATTGGTTTTATTATAATTACAATCTGTAAAGTTTATTAAAATAATAATGTCATCGTTTGCCAATATTGTATGATAAATTAAACCAAATAAATTATACAACTTTTCGTATTGATAACCAAATTTTTTACTATTTTCAACTAAATAGCGCTTTGTTTTTAATAAACTACTCAATTTAACTAATTTCCTTTGTGTACTATAGAACAAGATTACTAGTCACTAGCTATTATGAGATCCATTTTTTGTGATTGTTCTGTTTGCTGTTTAATAAAAACACTTTATTATAATACACACTTTATTGTGTCAGATTCAGAACCTACTTAAACAAAGTGAAAGAGTTTCTTTATCTTTGTATAGGTAGGAACTGAATCTAAAACATCTAGAACGATATAGATGCAACCAGCATTGAGTTTTTAAATCCTCCATGTAGATATGCAATACCTAGTATAATTATTGCGGCAGCATTGTTTAATTCGTAAGTCATTATTAATATTTTTATTCTTTCTTTCTTTACAGAAACCGCAATGGGTACACAATTAAATGAAATATCCACTTCTAAAGGAAAAAGTTATAAAGATGCGATATATGAGATTGGCCGGTTAATTACTCATAGATTTGTTTCCGTGCTACTGTATGCAGATTTCATGTTTAATTTGTCATCCTTTGGAAGGAAACAAAAAAAGCTGTTAAATATTATTCATAACTTCACCGCAGAAATAATAAAAGATAGAGAAGAATATATAAATAAAAACGGAGTTCAAAGTTACGATGTTAATGATAATAGTGTATTTGAAGACGACATGTTTCTGAACAAGAAAAGAAAGAAAAGAGCTATGTTAGATTCAATTATTTTAGCAAAGAAAGATGGGTTAATAGACGATGCTGGTATACAAGAGGAAGTCGATACATTTATGTTTGCAGTAAGTGAGAATATAAATAATTTTCTATAAACAAATATTAATATCACAAAGTCGTCAATAAGTAAATATTTATATATTATATATATTTTTTTATAATGTAAGGGCAAAATTAACGTTTGATTAATTTATACATAAATAAACAAGCAAATATCTTGTTGTTGAAAGGTTTAAAACGACTGTTTATGATAATATTTACACAAATAGAAGATAACTATTGAATCTTAGATTAAGTATATACATTTATCATGTATAATATGGCCCTAAGAGACTCTGTCATCTTATTAAAATATTGAATGTTATTTTATAGAGTTACACAATACAATGTATTTTCGTTTAATTTAAAATAATTGTACACAGGGCCATGACACGACCGCCGCTGGATTAACGTTTTTTATAATGTTGCTTGCAAATAATCCAACAATACAGGTAGTACTATATTTTTTGCATACTTGTAATTGGTGAACTTGTAAATGAAATTTGTGTATACGGAGTAAGTGAAAATGTCTCCTTGATTTGCAACATTAATTTTGCACTTTAGTGTATCTGCTTTCACCAAAGTGATAGGCGTATACATATGTATGTATGTACATGTAGCGCGGTGGTTATACTCATCACTGTAGCGATATATATGTTGTGGTGAGGTGGCGCTACATAATATATTATTTATGTTGTTTATAGGTAGTGAGTATACCAGTAAAATGATTCTATTATTTATTAGACATTATTAAGTTTATTGGTAGTTGCTACATGGTTTATTAATAACGCGTCCAATCGACGCGGTGTCGGGACGTAGACTGATTTTATACTTAACTTAAATCTATGTTAATGGAAACGTAATCTAAGGGAAGGGTCTCAAGTGTCGACAGAAATATTACAAGTATAGGCACATACGTATAACAGTCAGTTCTTTTATTTGTTATTTACTATGAATATAATACTAATAATCTCAGGACAATTTACACAGCGTCAAGGCCCAAGTTAAACCAGATAGAATTTGTGTTCAAGTCAACTGATACAATTTTGTTTTACTGATACTTTTCATTTTACTCATCACGCATTGCTATAGCAGAGGACTAAGGTGCTATTATCAATGTCATCGTCATTGTGTCATTATCTTTTGATAAAGCTAAAGTTACCATGTTATAGGATAAAATATACAAAGAACTAAAAGAAGTTTTCGGCGGGTCAACGCGGCATGCTGACATAGACGATTTGTCTAAATTAAAGTATTTGGATAACTGCATCAAAGAGTCGCTCCGTCTGTACCCACCAGCTCATTTTATTAGTCGTCAATTGAATGAAACTGTCAAATTAGGTAAGGACACTTAGTAATTCTATTCCTATATTTACGTGAATCTACTAATGACACCTAGTCATAGTGAAGCAAAGTCGTTGTTCTTCACTGTTTATTTTATCTCTTACTTCTAAGCTTTGCAATGGATTATATACAGTTTTCATCGTTAACGAGAATTTCATTCTGAATATTTATAATCTTTACATAGTATAAAAAGAAGTCGCTTTCGTTGTCTGTTCGCTTAGATCTTCTAAACTACGCAAAATATATTAATGTTTTGTTAACAGTTTTTAACATTAGATTTATATGTACCTACATATAACTAGCTGACCCGTCACTTCTTCTGCTTGATATTTATGAGTATATTTCGTTATGTACCATATAACACAGGTGGTTCATGAATCACCACAATACAGAAACGATCCTGAGAACTCCAAATATTGTACCTGTTCTTCTCGTTTCAGGCAATTACACGGTTCCATCGGGAGTGATGTGTCATATACATATATACGACTTGCACCGACGAGCAGATTTGTTCCCAAATCCTTTGGAGTTTGACCCTGACCGTTTTCTGCCGGAGAACAGCATCGGTCGACATCCATATGCATACATACCATTTAGTGCGGGCCCTAGAAATTGCATAGGTGAGTTTAACGGCCCTGTGGTCTAGGGGTTCGGCATACCTACCTTGTAATTATGGTCGAGGGTTCAATTCCTCGCATGATACCTTTCTATTTTTACCTATCTACTTATATTATGTATATGTATCTATTAAAGCTATTGTGACTCAATTTTATGACGAGGACAGAGCACCGAAAGAGTAAGTTCTTCATACTTTCTTGTTAGAAGCGGAGGCTTTAGTCAATTCCAGGCTTTTAACATACGTCACATAAAACGAAGAATGTCAGAGCCTTACGCCGTTCCAGTTTCTTTGTTTTATATTGTTTTATATATGACATAAGTCAAATACAATATTCTAGGACCATAAAAAAGGTTTATAAAACAGTTTCCAACAGTCTTAGTGACGGAAATCTAATAAAAAATTGAGTATTTGCTATTTTTATTACCAGATAATTATTTAGTAACAAAGCCATTCGGAATTAAATATACGAAAAACGTATTGATGGTATTTAAAAAAAAACTGTTACCTATTATTACAAAGATATACTTACTTGTATGTTCATTCGTGTAGACCAACTTTGCTGTATTTGTTTTAACTGACTTAAAAAGGAATAAGTATATTAAATCGGTTATATTTATTTTTTATCTTATGTCACACTAACCTCAGAACTTCTCCGTTTATACTTAAACTGATTTGGAAAATATTTTTTCATTTTAAAACAGTTTCAGATTGAACAACATATTTTTAGGGAGGGTAGGAATGTTTCCATAAAAAATTCACTGCAATAGTGTCCACGCAATAAAATCACGATGCAGGTATTTTTCAGCATTACTTCTGCCTCTATTCAGATACCTCGCGTCTTCCCTCACACAAATATTTACGATCCGCTCGGCTATATTTTACAGGAGGAAATATAAAAAATTTTTTCGTCAATTTGAAAATTTATCTTGTTCATTTTTCAAAATTATTCGTTTGATTTGTTCAATCGACCTAAAGATAGGTTCTTTGTATTGATGAAAATAATATATAGAATTTGAGTGTAATTGGTATTGTAGAAAAAAAATATAGTAGCACGTTTTGTATGGAGAGGGGTTGAGGGATGTGCAACCTTGAATAAATTTAGTATAAATAAAAAAAACTAGAAAAAATATATTATTCAGTAGAGTCAATGGTCAGCATAATAGTCCCAATGAATTGATGATGATGAAACTGTAAATATGTAACCAAGACATGGTTATTAACAACTCACCGGGCTAGACTTTGTAAAAAGTCCTCTAGGCGTACCTCTGTCGACCTGTTCCAGCTTCTAAGCTGTGCCTGTCGCAACGCTGTCTATCGGTTGAAGGATGAGATAAGGCAGTGAAATTACAGGACAAGAGACATGACATCTTAATCATCCGAAATAACATGCAGGAGTGGTATCACTGGCATCACATATTACGTGATATTGTAGAATTTCTCATGTTTACTTCTCATTTCTGTGTGTTTATGTATAGACAGGCGACGGTTTATAATTACTTAAAGAAAACTTGGTGTTGTTTGTGGTACTTATGAAATAAATTTAGTTTTATCTAAAAATAATTTTAAACTTGTATGAGTCATCAGAAATTAGACTAGAGTAATTTTGTTTTAGGTCAAAAGTTTGCAATGATACAGATGAAGTCTACAATTTCCACTTTATTACGACACTATGAGTTCTTTCCTGTGACTAAACCCTCAGATCTACAGTTGAAGAGTGATATAGTTTTAAGAAATTCTGATCCAGTTTATGTTAAATTTGTAAATAGAAATAAATAAAATTAGACAAGAAAAGATATTGTTTGTTTTGTAATAACTACATGTGTAAGTATAAGTAAAAAAAAATGGTATGTATTTGAATTTAGGCGCATCACTTCGAAACAGGTGGTTCATTTTAAAAATAATGTTTTTTTAAACTTTGTTAAAAAACTTAGGTTAGGTAAACATGTCCATATAAAAATATTGACAAAGTTTACGTGACTTTCAGTTCTTCAGTATTATTTTATTACATGGTTAGAACCATGTAATAGAATAATTGTCTCGTTTTTTATTATACAAAAGAATATTTATAAAAAACATTACACACACATAATATACAAGTGGAAAGATTTGATTTTTTATATGATTGTAATGACCTTGTGATAATATACTTGAAAATTAACGTATACAAAATATAAAATATTGTGTTCCGAATAATAATAAACGATTTTTAAAATGCCGTACTCCTTAAAATACAGTATTTTATAAATAGTGCGGTCAATCTCAGTCACAATCAGTCAACGCCAGACTATGCTTTGTAAATAAACATGACGTCATTTCAAATAGATACCTATCTATGAACACAATAATATCATAATATCACAGATCGCTACACTATAAACTGGTATATTTATTTATATACTCAGCTGTATATACCTACATATAAGTATGTTATACATTATCCGGTTCTCAGATAAATAGACTACGTTTGTACAAACAAACAGTTTCCGACAGTATCCATTTGCCCAGCAACTGCCTAACACGTCCGTGTGGATAAAACACTTATAATGTTGACATTCATTTTCTGTTTAATTACACTGTTTTTGCTTATAATCGAGCTGGTGATTAATCACAATACAAAGGCGAAGTTATTAAAAAAAATACCAGGACCAAAAAATGTATTTATTTTTGGTAATGCTTTGCGGGTTATGCTCTCCCCTGGTGAGTATATTAAAACTCTAAAAACTTAGAATATTTACAGTTTCTGACTTTAATTGATGTTAATATTTACTAATCGTGTGAATACTCTGTTCCCTAGTACCATGCACGTCTCTACCTAGTACTCATATCAGTGTTAGCTAATCGTTTAACTTTAGGTGACTTTAGCACTCGTCAGGTTAATGTGAATTTGTTTCTTTATATTGAAAATTAGATATCATTAAAATTACTGATGTTTTTGTAGAAACTCATTTATAACTACTGCATCCAATGATTATATGTAGATAGACAACACTGTTTTTTAATGGATTTTAAAAAGGTGTTATTGTACGAGAAAGGGTATTTTATGTTTGTTCGTAACGTTATTTTAAATTACTTATTACTGAGGTTATTACATACCAAATACTTTTATCAATATGGAAATCTTAGAATAATAGACTCTTCAGTAAGATGGAAATTAGATAATCTTTGATCCCACGTAACATTTTAATTATGTATGGATACAATGACTACAGATTTATTAATTTGATGTTCTGTTAGCTACTATTGATTAATGATCACAAGCCATGTTTATCGTGTCAGCGTGTAACATTTTTCGGTCTGAACAGCTGAAACCGTCTGAAGGTAACTTAACTTACACGAGTGGTAACTCTTTGGGTATACTGATCTGACTGTCTTATAGTATTAATCCCTATAGTGGAATTTTTACTGTTTTCAGTTGAACTATTTAAATTAGCAAGAAGAGATGCAGCGCGATGGAATGGAATTTACAGATTTTGGGCTTATCCTCGTTCTGCAGTCAACGTTTATAACCCTGAAGATATCGAGGTTTGTGTTTCCGATTTATTTATTTATAGATTCTGGTAAGCCTTTTTTAAACGCACGCAAAAAAATTGTTGACATGTACTAATTAACAGGTGGTTGCGAATTTTCCGACTTGAATACCAGCAAACATCTGCTTCTGGTTCCGTACAGTTTATTAGTCCAATTCTCATACATACATATTGTATTATTATAAGCAATTTTGACTTCGACTTGTCACCTGTCGATAATGTTTAACATTATTATATACTAGCTTTGTTCGCGGTTTCATCAATTCCCGCTGATATAATTTCTTTTGTACTTTTTTTTTTGCAGAAAGTAATTTCTACGACAAAACACAATGAGAAAAGTACGCTGTATAGATTTTTAAGGCCCTGGTTACAGGAAGGGTTACTTCTAAGTAGTGGTACGTTACTTCCAACAACTATATTAGCCATGTCGTACTGTAGATAGTGTATATATAACAAATATTCAGAAAATTAATATATACAACCAAGAGTAGAAAATAATAATTCATAAGTACACGAATCGTTTTGTAAAACCACAGATAACATAATATTACATCCACTAATCTCACGAGAACCAGAATATAAAAAGTCGTTTGCGTGGGTATAGTATTACCTATTTCAGCCGTCAAATAGGTGCCGATTAAGCAATAAAATTACCGAATAAGAAGCATAACATCATAGTCCTTTAAAATGGCAATGCATGAGTGTTATCACGGGTGTTTCGTGATAACGTGTTTTCCATAGTGCTGTTCATATGTAGAGACAACGGCTACGGCTAGACATCTGGTGGGCCGTTAGTTATCAATTATGTAAAAAAATAGTTTAATAAAATTATTCAGATAGCGTACCTACTCAATACAATTTTGCATGTTTGTCTTAATTACCATATCAATATGTTTTGTCTACTCTAATTTTTATCGCCTCTGTAGCGATATCGAACTGATTATATCTGACATGAGTTCAATAAATGTCGCGAATAAATAAAAACAAATACCTATGAATTTAGTAACTACAGCAGACTAATGAACTAATTTCAGGATCTAAATGGTACCAGCGAAGAAAAATTCTCACACCTACCTTCCATTTCAAAATTTTACGTGATTTTTTCGTGATAATGGAAGAAAACGGCGTTCGTTTGACCGACTCTTTGATGAGTACGGAAGGAAAAGCTATAGATATCGTACCTATTCTGTCTGAGTTCACACTGAATTCCATATGTGGTAAGGAAACTAACATATTATCAAAATACTATACTTATTTCATGACCAAGTATTTCTTGCGCCCGCTAAGGTTAAGGTCTACCATCGAGATGTAGTGTATGGTAAGGGTTCCTACGTTACATCAAACAAATTGCATGAATCACACATTGGTGAATGTTAAATTAGTTACCTTATGCTTATAAAGATAAAGTTATTCTTAAGTTTTTCATTAATAGTTAAACTTTCGTGTATAATTAGATTATATATTTAAAATTAGACATATGAGATTATGAAATGCGATTACATGAAATTTAGAACAATTCCCCCCTAGTTACACTAGGTCTCACTATGTCGACTTCTTACCCATTAAGTTGTGTTGTAAATTATGAACTAATGTACTTATGTAATAATTTAAACAGATCTGCCGTTAGCTTGTTCAATGAATAAATAAAGAAACGATAATTAATATTTCCTACGTCTTGATTTCGATTATTATATTTACATACATATATTTTAGATTTTTTTATATATTTTAGAAACTGCAATGGGTACTCAACTATCAGAAGAAACGAATGCAACTGCAAAATCTTATAAGTCCGCCATATACGAACTAGGCAAGCTTATTATCGGACGAGTCAGCAGAATTTATTACCACACAGATTTTATATTTAACTTGTCCGCTACAGGGAAGAGACAAAATGGAAATATAAAAACTGTTCATAGTTTCACTAAAAAAGTTATAAGAGATAGAAAAGAGTATATAGAAATAAATGGGATTCAAAATGTTAATACAGAAGATGATGTGTTTATGACTAAAAAACTAAAGAAGACAGCAATGTTAGATGTCTTGATTATGGCACATAAAGATCATCTCATCGATGATAACGGGATACAGGAGGAAGTTGATACCTTCATGTTTGAAGTGAGTTGGTTTTCATTAATAAAGAGTATTCGGTACGAGGTTTATTCTTAAATATATTGTATATATGTACCTATTCGTAGAATTTATTACAACGATTAGTAGGAAATAATAAGTAATTGTTTAATTTACAGGGTCATGATACTACTGCCTCTGGTTTAACCTTTTGCTTGCTTTTGCTAGCGAATAACAAATGTATACAGGTAATTCAGTTTCATCTTAATATATAGTTTATTTTGTTCATGCAAATTCTCTGTTAACATACGTTTGTATATTTACATTTATACTGTTTGTTTTTTAACTAGGATAAAATATTCGAAGAACTCAAGGACATTTTTGATGGTTCATCAAGATCAGCCAATTTTGAGGACCTGTCTAAAATGCGCTACTTAGAATGCTGCATTAAGGAATCCATGCGCTTATACCCGCCTGTTCCAATTATAAGTCGCGCGATAAATGGAACTTTAACACTGAGTAAGAAAGTAGTATATTGTACCACATCAAAGTAAAATAATATTAGCAGTTTTTGATGCGCGGTTCCTCTCAAACCGGAATACTAAAATCTGAGTAGAATTATGTAAATGTGTGAAGAGTTATTGGTCTTAAGTAAGTGAAGTTCAATAAATCTGGAATTCCAGAACGATAGCTAATATTACTAGACAATTTGCACTCTATTTTTTCTAAGAGTTGGAATAATAAACATGCTTCAGATATTATTTTTATTTATTTCTCTTATGATTTATTATTTTAGACACATAATATCAAATAATGTCTGCAAAAATATTTTTTTTCCAGGTAATTATGAAATTCCAACGGGAACATATTGTAATATTCATATTTACGATTTGCATCGTCGCGCTGACCTCTTCGAGAGTCCATTAGACTTTAACCCTGATCGTTTCCTACCAGATAACTGCATAGGACGTCATCCCTACGCTTATATACCATTTAGTGCTGGCCCTAGAAATTGTATAGGTATTGTTTAAACTACTCAAGTAATTGTAGATGCTTCAACTTAATTTTCTTTTATTAATTGACTTAATTATAAGTAATTGAGGCAAATAAGGCTCACTATTCAAAATCGCACAAAAAATAATCTTGATGTGTCACATTTGTTTGTATAAACACATAGTAGTGCACTTCGTAGAGAATGAGTTCGTGTTCTCCCTGTGCTGTACATTGCCCAAGCGCAAAGTATATAATGGTTACCAGTCTTCTTATTCCTAAGAACTAAAAAGAAACAGATGTAACAAAGCACAAACATAGTAGAATAACTTTTCATAGTAAAATTATAAGAAAGAATCCTCATACCAAGCCGCTACTAATATCCGTTCTTTTACGATGACATATCACATAAGCATATATTAGGCTGTGATAATGGTTTTATAACGCTATCTACCACCCAATTTCTTCATTAAAGCTTTAAGTAGGTAGTATTCATGAAGGTAAAATTTCACCAATTACGCACGCCAAGTATTTATTATTATTTTAATTGTTACTTTAGCCTTATATGCGTCAAATACCTATTATATTTGAAATCCTCATTTAAGTAACAATAGAATTGTTATAGTAATATAATATCAGCAAAATACTTAGATGATTATTTTTAAATTTTACATGATATAATATAATGTGTTTATTCTGGTAAAAACAAGGTATCTTTCTGTTTTTAGGGCAAAAGTTTGCAATTATGGAGATGAAGGTAGCCCTATCAGCGATCATCCGAAAGTTTGAACTACTGCCAGTGACCCGTCCTTCGGATCTAGAAATAATAGCCGATTTAGTGTTAAGAAATTCCAAACCTATTTATGTTTCATTTGTTACAAGAAATAAAAATTTGTCCTAATGTGCACCCATGTACTTATTTTAGTAATCAACATGTCAGCTAAATTTAGTAACGTTCCCGGCTTCTACCGCTTGGCACTGGATCTCAGATATTTATATCAACGTTCTAAAGAAGTATGCTCCAGTGCATTGTAAGGGGAACTAGTGTCCGCCGAAACGCGCGATTTTCGCTGTACTCATTTTCCCGCGTTGTAGTGCGGGCGCATTCTCTGCGGATGCCCGTAAATGTTATGCGATTTTATTCAAAAGGATACGAGGATTTCGTCATGGAGAATAACAATGAGTTTGAGGTAATTAATATTTACCTATTTATACAATGCTTTTATACATAAAAACAAACTGATATCCAACATAATTTCATGGTTAATATCGTTTTTCATAGTAAGTTTTCCATGCGCCATTCTTAATATTAAACGTTAATATAAATCGTTTTTATTATAAAAAATAACAACTATTTAATTTGATTTCTTTGTTCACAATTACAATAATGATAAAAATAATGATAGATTATTTTCATGACAATATGTTTTTCCAAAATAATAATACTAAAAAGAAAAGCTAATGCTAGAAAAAATACTAAAAATAAAAATCTCTAAGTACCTCTGCAATGATACACAAAATCATCATCATAATATATAACCCACTGTACTGGTCTTTATAATAACGAGCTAATATCCTCTTTTTATGTCTCTGCCCCATAGAAAAAGTATTGCTTTTTATAGCACGATGGTGGTAAACAAGCATACAACTCATTTATTAGGTTACGGTTACCGTAACCTAAACGTACAGCTGTACCGACACCTGGAACAAAAGGAGTGTCACGTGTACGTTGCCGACGCTTAAGAAACCTTAATATACTCTTGAAAAACCAAACTATAATCTGTAGATAAAACTAATAAAACTTCGGCAGGTATATAGTTCCACAATCAAAGTATACACGGGAGGAAGCTCCTCTGAAACCACAATGTCCGAGACCGCGTAGATTCTAGGGTGTGAAGATGAAATCAGTATAAAATCACGGACAGGTCGGCTTAGTGTTTAGATTTATTTCGAGTTTATATTTTTTTGAGCAACAGTGTGCAGGTTTTATGGTCTGTGCTTGCTGTCCGGTCCTGCGGTTTAAAATTCTAAATTGCATTTTTTAGTAGTCGATCTTAACGAATAGATATTTCTTTTGAATGAGATCATGAATGAGATAATAAAGAAATGGGTTACATAATTCATCTCCCGTATGTTTCGTATGTATAGATTCTAATAATTTGTAATAGTGGTCATGGTCAATATTCCTGCAGGGGACATAATTTTTATATTACGAATCTTATTAGAAAACCATCTGAAAATATAACAACATTTTAATAATCATATTTAAATTTTAAATTATTCTACTGAACTGACTATTAAAACATAAAATGTACAAAGAATCTATCTCAAAACTCCGATAACCCGATTTTGCATTTTCTTCATACACATCTTCTTTGCTTTCCAACGCCGACTTAACTTCAGTTACTGTACATAGTACTATTTGATCGCCCTGTTGACCCGCTAGTTGGTTGGGTCGATATCCAAAATAGGGCAAATTCAGCAGCATCATGTCTGCCAGTCGCTACACGAGCTCATTTGTTAAGATCCGATAGAAAGACTCTATCAATCGGGTAAAGTTTAAAATGAATTAGTTCATTCATTAATTTGATAATTTTAATGATAAAATATCTATATAAATAAAACATATGCAAAACTTTGTATTCATGAGTATATTTGTCTGGGTATTTTCTAGTTTTCTATGTTTATTATGTTTGTATTTACAATAATAAAGTATGTATTTAATAAGTCTTATACAAAACATATTAAAATATTAAAATTTATCTGCTGTTAGCAAAATAAATAAATGCATGTAAGTAAACAAAGATCTATAGTAATTTATATTCTAAAATTTTTACATAGTTTACTGGGTATTACGTGTCCAGTAGTAATCTAGGTAGACATTGATCTCACTAGATATCACTCAGATCGCGTAGGTTTAGACGAAACTGGTATGGCTATAGATAATATATGATTTGTCATTTATGGCCTTGAAATAAGAGTAGGTAAGAGTTTCAACAAGATAGTCATAAGATCGACATTGAAGACATTAAACTTAAAGAGAGACCTTTATTTAATTATATTTACATATGTATGTCATGTAGATTACATGACTTGATAGGTATATCACAAATTAATAATGAAAGGCACATTGTATTAATAATTGCGTCTACTTTCATGAATTGGCATTACATGGTACTGAAATATTAAACATAACAAATACCTACATGCAACATTCAAATATCTGTATACATACGTAACACCAATACGTCATGCCACAGGTAAACGCTGAAAGTAAATAGATAAACTAAGTCAGATCATGTAAACGGGGGCTGGGTAGTCGACGCTTGCGCGCTGGCATTGTACGACGAATCGACTGCGCGAACCACTGCCCAATTTATCCCGTCTTTTTGTACTACCGTGCCCAACATGAACTGCCGCCAGCTCTTCCGTCTTTCCGTCATCATCCGGCCAGTTTTTCAACCAGGATGTGTCTGCTGCCGTCTTTACAGTCAAGTGAGACCCGTCTATTTTATAAGCAAACCAGAAGTGAGTGTCCTTTTCACAATGTTTTTTAAATGTTAACTTAAGATGTTATTGAGGGTTACTTTAATAATATCTTACTAAAGAACTTTAGAAGTCATATTATAATTATTTGTTTCAGAAATGGCGCAATTCTGCACCCCATTTCTACTCTATACAAACCATCGAAATGAGGTAACTACGTGAATATTTTATTCTAACAATACCTACTCTTCCTTTCAAATTACGAGCTTATAAAAAATGACAGACAGACTAAGATATTTTATTTGTATGCCACTGCTCGTGTTCTTTTATTAAAGACCAATTGTTATTAATGATCCATATCAACCTCTATTGATCTATTAGACTCTTACGTTAAAATGTACATGCGTTTGCCGGCGCCATTAAATGCCGGTTACATAGAAAAAATAAATAGATACCTACAACTATTTGTTCGATGCATCTAATCATCTAGCTATTTGTATCAAATATATGTATAATATGCAAAATCTCCACGTTTTGTAGGATGAGCAACGATAACGAAATACGACAGACTACTATTTTTCTACAGTTTTCTTGGTTAAGTAAACCGCATAGTTTTTAAATTATTACAATAGCTCGGATTTGTTAGGGATAAAGAAAACCCAGTTACCAATTCACTTAATTGAACAGTGGTATTTTGGTAGTTATCTGTTTTGTGAGTGTAGGTATTTGTTCCGAGTATAAAAACGTAATATACATAGTTTTCTTATAAAACCGGTATAATGATTTTTATTTAAATAAAATTATACCGATTTACGAAGTCTTATATTTAAAATTCTACGGCCTTATATTTAAAATTTTTATGTATTAAATTATACAAGGAAACATTCTACTAATTGATATAATATTCACTTGACTGTATAATATCCATGACAATTAGTGGTCATAAGGAAATAATGTTTTAAATTTTTAATTAACCTACTGAATATGAAAATTACTCGTATTCAGTTTCATGCCCCAAGATACAAATATATATATTTACAATATAATAAGATAAGAACAGAATAATTATAGAGTCTCGTAAATCCTATGCTACGTACGGTTTTTAAGCTTGTAAACAAAATGAGTTACGGAGTTGAAATTATGTCTTAAATATAAGTAGTAGTAAGTAGATATAAAAATTAACAAAATAATCGTTATTTAACCCATTATTTGTAAGGTAATATACATATTTCTTATTACAAATAGGTATCGCATAAAATATAATACATAAAATATTACACATTCTATCTTGAGGAAAAAAAAGCATTGCTCCTAAGAATATCCTTCAATTCATGACCCACAATCTATGAAGGTCGCAATGCTACAAGTCTCTTTAGCACCAAGTAATAGTCCTATACCATTAACAAAAAAATACATAAAACATAGAAGTTTGTTTTAATGGTTACATTGGAAATTATATTTTTATTAAAAAATATTTGGGAACAAATTCATAACCAATACAGTTGACACAACAACAAGATGACCATGTGGAACGGCCTACATGTCGAATATAAAAAAAATGTTTACTTAATTTTTGTTGTCATAAACGATCACAGTAATTATATCAATGATAATATTTTCCATTCGTAAATATTTTTTCTGTTGATTAAATAGTTTTTATATTATGTATGTATAACTTTAATTAATAACGCCTGTTCCTTCTTCATTTAATTAATATGTATCTCAAAATATTAAGCAGTATCTGGGTGTATTGTTAGGAGAAATTAGACAACAAGTTTATGAAAGTAATGAGAATAATGCTATGAATGGTCTATATTAACGGATGTTTTTAAATTTTCATTATCATTCGTGATTATTACAGTTTGATTAAATTTAGACAGCCTAATCATCAAATAAATTTAACTTAATCTAAAGTTTGGGACGAAACTATACGGTAGCTACTTTTGCAATATGTACACTGAAAAAATTAAAATAATACGAATATTATTTTTATTTCTTTAATGTTTATGTATACTGAAAATTGTATAAAAATATTCCGGTCATAAAATGGTAAAAAAGTTACCAATTAAGTATTACTTTGCCTACATAACCATAATACTCGTAGATCGAGATCTGATTCGTAGTAACGTACGTTAAGTTTCAGTATATATTTACTTGCTTAAGTGATTACGGTTTCTCAAACATCTCCTATTTTTCATGGGGCAGGCCATACTCGTTCGTGCACAACATTGATCCAGAGCGGTAAGTGATATATAGGTACAAGAGGTCTCGTGTGTTTTTTGCGTTGCATGTTGATTTTGTATCTGAAGAAGTTTTATTTTAAAAGTAGCTGAACCACACAACTTTGCCTGCGTCGTATTTTACCCTTTTTTATTTGCAACACAATACATTGCAACTTTGCTTTAAATATTGGGCGTAGCGTAATATTATACATAGTGTTGAATAGCCTACTCATAGCATTTCTTGATAAAAAGGCTATACAACACTAACAGAATTTTCAAAATCGGATCATTACTACCAGAGACTATAATATATAGGTATAAATATTAGGCAATATTAAGGTAAATTACATCATTCATATCATCCATTTATATTTGCATCAATGTTTTGTACTTTCCTGTATGGTTTTTTACGTATAACAATGTAGACGAGTAGTTATAAATTATTACAGATTTTTTTGTAGTATTTTTTTGCTTCGTAGTTTAGCATTAGAAATTGTCTTGATTTCTGTGTCGGATTGCACAAGTAAAACTCTATCTAATCATAATTTCACGGCAAATAATGTATGTAAGTGAATCATAAAATACTTTAATCATGAATATGTACGAGTACGTAATTTTAGAGTACAATTACTCACTGACTTTTTCAACTCTTTGCTCTTTCTCTAGGTGATAGGATTTTTTAAATGAGTCAAGTATTCTTTCAGCCCTACCAAACGTATGAATCTTAAATTCAACTATATACTTATTTTATTGCGAATCCTAATAACGCATATACTTTATATTTAAGAGATAAATATTTATATGTAATTACCGAAAATCCATTGATGATTGCTAATTCTAACAAAGTCTGAGCATTGTTCAGAAATAAAGTTGTCATGTGATCACAGCAAACAATACTGTGTGGCTACGTCGTAGACACACCCGCCAGTTACGTCAAACCCAATATTAGATCGTGACGGGGCTACATGTCGTTAAATACAAGATATTAGTTTGTTAAACAGGTAATGCGTGCAAGTATGGTTGCTAAATTTATAGATTCAATATCTTGCTAATCACAAACCTAATAAATACCCACCCATTTTTCCTTATTTGAATGTTACGTAGAAATCTTAAATAGAAATTACGTAGATACCTGCAATGTACTTTTCAGTAATAAATTTATTTCTACATGTAAATTGAATGTATCAATGTATGAATTTACTCAAGTGATATATGTTTAAAATACGCCAATTATTAAAAAGAATAGTAGAGAGTACGAGACGTACTATTACAGGTATCTAAACGTGTAATTGAATGTGTCGTTAGATTAGAATTTAGCGCTGATTACTTGTTACCGTAATAAGGACCACTGTCTCTTTTTTTTAGAGTATACGTTGTACATTGTTTTTGAAATAAAATCAGGTACCTAGTTAAATAAATTTAAATCGAAATTAAATATTATTGGTTAGTATTTTTCAAGCAGTAGAAAAGTTTCTTAGTCCTTTGCAGCGGTGCTGTTATTTTGACATTAGCCCCACCAAAAAAAAAAGTCTTATCAACAAAACTCTATCTCCTTATGATTAGCACATATTAGAAATGTTATAAATGTATTGTAGTGATTTTGATTTGTTTTTGTTTAATATTTACATATTTTAAATGAACCTAAATAAAAACTATTTTCTCTATTTATTTCTTAGAGTTCGGGAAGGATCCCATAAAAATGCAGACGATGTTTTATTCGATATGTTCAAAAATGAAGATACTGGACTACTACCTGTTGGAAAGTTTTTGGCCGTGAGTGTCTATTCGACATAACTATACTTGAATATTTATTAATAATTAAGTGTAAAATGAAATTAATTTTTCTATGTTAATATAATTGGTTCTAATGTAAAATTCTGATTCCGTACCTACTATTTTTATCTACGCATTACACTGTGAAATATTTATAACTCTACTGTAGGTGTGATTGTCACCTGTGTTCTCCTAAACCAATATAGATGATTTTTGTATTGCATATTATAGAATCTCTTTCTGGGTGGTTTTAAAACACAATTCGATCCGGTGCGTATTCGATGGTAATGCACCTTTCCCAGGCAGGACGACGTCTGGCAACAATTTATTATATTTGATATTTTACAGGCCTTGAGAACGACTGGAATAAGAAAAAATGATGCTCGCGTTAAAGAAGTTATGCTAAACTTGTACAAGGTGCACAAAGATTCTAATTACGAGGGAGGTTCTCCAGAGACAATGAAGTTAGACAAAAAAACATTTAAAGAAGTAATTGCTCCCAATATTGTTCTAATAACAAGAGCATTTCGCAGTCAATTCGTCATTCCAGATTTTCAGGATTTTATCAAAGATATAGAGGAAATGTATTGGTCCGCTAAAAGTAATACTGATGGCAAAGTTGCCAGTTATATTCCACAATTAGCTAGAGCAAGTAACGAGAATTGGGGTGTTAGTGTCTGTACAATAGATGGACAAAGATTTTCTATCGGTGAGTTTATAAATTACTTAATATATGCCAAACCTATTATTTTATTATCTTTATTAGTTATTATTGATGCATTGATTTCTCAGGAGAGTGAAAATACAATCGCCCATAATTGTTGTATGCAAAGCAGAGTACCTAAAGTCCATAATTATTTAATTCTATCTATGTGTTGTGCAGGTGATGTCACAGTTCCGTTCACTCTACAATCATGCAGCAAACCACTCACATACGCTATGGCACTAGAGACTCTAGGTCCCGACGTGGTACACAAATATGTTGGCACCGAGCCCAGCGGGAGAAACTTCAATGAACTCGTATTGGATTATAATAGTGCGTATTAAACACTTCTTACCTGTCTGAATGTAACAACAAGAATTTTCAAAAACAAAGTTTATTAGGTATACTTCACTTGGATTCTATTTGTCGACCACATCGTATCGTAATTGCGATGAATCTGGGGAGGGTTACAGCATGATGATCAGCAGAAAGTATACCTCGATAGGCAGGTCTTAAGATAAACATGGATAAGTCCAATATTTATGTTTAAGTTATGGTTCAAATATAGTACGTGGAGCGTCCACAGTGCGCTATGGAATAATGCGAAGTTTAACTGCGCGATAACATCAGTAATGCTGAAACATAGGTACATAACGGACATTGCCCGAAGCATGAAATCGATAAGATAACTTGGGTTATCGATATTTGGTGAAGAAGAAAGTTTCTCGATTGTGAACCCCGTACACTATACCTAGTAGGTAAACGCACTGTAGTAAGCTCGTCGTCAATATAGAGAGATGTACACGGGATCATTTTCCAGTGGATGATCATGAAAGAGCTTGTGATGGTCATGATATATATAAACATATCAATGTAATAAATTAATATTGTTACGCTTCTATGCCATCCGTAATTATGTTTAACTCGATTATTCTTTTCATATTCTTTCAGTGAAACCACACAATCCTATGATCAACGCTGGAGCCATCCTAGTGTGCTCATTGCTGAAAACATTGGATAAACCTGAGATGACTTTGGCTGAAAAATTCGACTACGTTATGTCGTTCTTCAGCCGGCTGGCCGGCCACGAAGTGTTAGGTTTCAACAATGCTGTATTTTTGTCGGAACGCGAAGCTGCCGACCGGAATTATGCACTTGGTTTTTACATGCGCGAGCATAAATGTTACCCAGAGAAGACTAATTTACGGGAATGTATGGATTTTTATTTTCAGGTAAACTTGTTTACTGGTATTGACCGTTATATGACATTGTTTCTTTGCTAACTCCGAATAAATCATTTTATATAAAATGTCTACTGTTTCGTGTTAAAATTGTGTATTCAGTGGTTTGTTAATTCATTAACGACCTCGGTGGTGGTCTAGCGATTTAGCACAGCGCCTTACTTCCAATGGTGTCGGGTTCAATTCCTAGTACGATGCGAATTTTTAATTTGTATTCATAAGTATGACTGTCTGTATCGGTTTGAGCGTTTTCTACGTAAAATATGTATATATATGTATTTTTTTAATATGTTTTATTAATTTTCTAGACCTATAAAATATGCTCTGCTTAGTTTGGAAATAGATGGAGCTGTGTGACTTAACCCTTGTTTAAAAATATATACTGAGTTTACAAATGCTATTTGGTACAATAATCATGATTATTAATATTATTCTAATAATTTCAGTGTTGTTCTATGGAAGCGAACTGTGATATAATGTCAATAATGGCGGCGACTCTAGCAAATGGCGGCATCTGTCCTATTACCGATGAAAAAGTTCTACGGCCTGATTCTGTAAGAAATGTGCTGTCTTTGATGCATAGCTGCGGAATGTACGATTACTCGGGACAGTTTGCTTTTAAAGTGGGTCTTCCTGCAAAGTCAGGTGTATCAGGGGCTATGCTCATTGTAGTACCCAATGTTATGGGAATTTGTACGTGGTCCCCACCTCTTGACCCTCTTGGAAATAGTTGCAGAGGACTACAATTTTGTGAGGTGAGTATGTACATAATTTTAATTATACTATCTATATATACATATAGATATAAACAGACACTCCAATTTTATTTATATGTATAGACATCTAAATAAAATTGGAGTGTCCTTTTGTAATATAGAAATAACCGTTTTTTATATACACGCATATGAATATAAATACGGTAAATACACCAAAATAACATTTTTTAAAATTTTGTCTGTCTGTCTGTTTGTTCCGGCTAATATCTGAAATGGTTGGATGGATTTTGACGGGACTTTTATTGGCAGGTAATGTAATAAGTAGTAACATGGGCTACTTTTATTTTAGAAAAGTAAAGTTAAATTCCACGTGGACGAACTCGCGAACTCACAATTGAGATAGTGTGTTACATTGTAAGCATTAAGAAAATCATTTAAGAAGTTTTAATAGTTTCTATATAAATGTCCTTAACTAGCTTTGGGTAGTCATTATTATCTTTTGCTCATAGCAATCTACTATTAAATATGGACCTTCCTCAGCCATCTGCTGTTCATCATCCCCGATACTATGATTATCGATACAGCTTATGTATTAAATATAAAACATGCAAGATAATTAGAAAATGCGTAAACAAAAATTTTAATGTACATATATTTGTACACGTTACAGGAACTGATCCAGAGATTCAACTTCCATAAATATGACAATATTCGTTATGCGAGCCATAAAAAAGATCCACGAAAGTATAAGTTTGAGTCGACCGGTCTTAGCATTGTCAATCTGCTGTTTTCAGCAGCCAGTGGTGATCTTAGCGCTTTGAGAAGGTACGTTCCCTTGGAAAATAATAACTTTTCATACATGTTCATTATTAAAAAACTAATATATAGATCACTGGTACTCAGTTAGTTTGTTGTTACTATGCCTTTAAAACAGAGGTAGAATTCTAAAAAGAAACTCGCGAAAACTCAAACGTGTAATAGGTACTTATAAATTACGGACTTGTACATTATAAACTATTGTTTTTTTTCAGACACCATTTATCTGGTATGGATATGACCCTATCCGATTATGATGGTCGTACAGCACTTCACTTGGCAGCTGCAGAGGGTCATTTGTCCTGTGTTGACTTTCTTCTTGCTCAATGTGCTGTTCCCCATGACCCTAGAGATCGGTGGGGAAGCCGTCCGCTTAATGAGGCCGAAACATTCGGTCATACTGCCGTAGTAAAATACTTAAAGGAATGGGAGCTCGCACATCCACTCAACCAAGAAAATGAAGCATCGGCATCAGCGGTGGATGAAATTCTTGAAAAAGCAGATGCTAATGATGCCGTTAAAGACCCAAGCATACAAGAGATAGTGTCTAGAAATGGCGACAAAGTGCAATAAATTAGAATATGAAGTTGATTATGGAGAATTGCATGTGGAATTATTATGTACTTCCAGACAATTTATTCATTGCATTAACCACTAGATGATCTCATGACTATATTGATGATATTTAATTCATATTCGTTAATTTAGGCAGGAAAAATATTAACAGTTATAAATGTCTTCTGCTTATTAAAAGGTTTTACTACTCTATTGAATCAAGTAGAGAAACCCTCGTTGTTATGACAATGTTAATGATCACTATAGGCTAGGTCATTAATTGAACTATTAACTCTAATATTATATATACTATTATAAACTCATTATTAATAAACTGAAGAAATCTGTATTAGGTATATCTTTTTATAATCATATTTAAAAAAAATATTCTGACTGATGTTCACAGACTATGTAAGTACTTGCTATCATTGTCAAATGTTTATTTTAGTAGAGATAGGAGCCTCAAGTGCCATCTACTGAAAAATAAACAGATGTTTGACAATTAGTAAGCATTTATGTATCATCCAGATAGGAATACCATTGATATTTCTGCTGTGTGTTGTAAAAAAAGATCATTACTGAACAGTTTGTCCTATGGCCTTAGTACCAAAGGATTCAGTTTAAATTAGTTAACATTGGCCATTACCTATTGTAATTTAACTACTACCTATCACTACAGTATGTTATTGGCTAACTACCATTTTCATAAAAGTGTCAAACATGTAATATTTTGCTATTATTCTTGCTTTTAATTAGAAAGTGAAAGAACATTATAATAGTTAAAAAGGGGTTTCTGATACATTTGTGAAAAGGAAGGGGAAGGTACAGCTGGACTGGACATTTGTGAAAAAAGGGGGACTGACAGGGTCTGATAGTGACAGTGGTATTTTAACCTCAGTGGCTAAGTTAGTTATAGATGTTGAATATCACTGTACTGTGTATGTGGCACAGAGATAATTATTATATTAAAAACCTTTTTGACATTCCATACATTTTTTGAAGATTTGTTTTATTCATAATTGGAATGTTAAACTGCTCTCGATTGTATTCAAAATACCCATTAATTACAATCAAAGACAATAAATAGACATAATATAATTGTACTTGATATAAAGATGTTTCTTAATTGATGTTGTCCAAGTAATTATTACTTATGTCAATTAAATAAACTGTTGAATTGACTTTAAAAATTATTTTCTATTTCCCTCACTAAACCACATACTTAATTCACTGTTTCATGATTTTTAATAGAGTGAAGAGGGGCAAAAATTAAATAAAAGATATAAACGATGAAGGAATGAAGCAGAAGTGAGTGTGGAAACTTGAATTTATACAAATGTCAGAATTTGTAGAAAACTTATAATAAAACATGATAAACAGTGTTCATGATGTTGAAAATTTGTATATTAGATTGAAATAAGCAGTATTAAATATGGAGTTTTCAAAATGTTTGTTACTATACCAACAACAGGAATTAAGGTAGTTGGAAGTGTCTTTGGAAAGTAGGATATGCAGCACATAAACTTTTGCTGTTGACAACTTAGTATACTCTTTGGGTACTAGTATAATCTCATGTTGTACTCTTATTGTTTTTGTACATTTACTATATAAATATGATACTAAAAAGTTAAATGAAAACAATTTTTTTACTATATAATCTATTTCTTTATAAAATAATCAGTTGCATTATTTAATACTTATAACTTTTCACTATTTCTTATTGGAGTAGAGACAATTCCTAATAACTTACAATCTGCTTCTAGTAAAGTCAAGTCTGAATTTGATCCGAGGAACCTAGATGATAATTCCAAGTCATTTATTTGTATTCTGACTCTTGTTCCTCTCACATATTCATCACCCCTGTTCGTAGGTCGAGTGCATACACAGTGAAATTTCCAACCAAAATCTATATACAAATCATCTTGAACCACATGAAAGATTTTGCCAATAACTACTTTTCCTACTGGATCTCCTAGCTGAAAAAATAAATAAAAGTTAATAATGCTGTAAATTTTTGTAGTATTAAAGACACTGAATGATAAAATCAAAATCAACTCACGTCAATTAATTTTGAATTGCGAAGCAACGATGCAAAAGTATGATTTTGTTTATCCTGCGAGTCAAGAATATGGGACTGTTTTTCAAACGCTTTGGCAAAACCTCCAGTTTTTTCAGATGTCTCTACAGTTACTCCATGATCTGATGCTGATGCAGTTGCTTTATCTGAATTTATCTCAGATGTGCTCGAAAAAGATTTAGTCATATTCAGACATGGATATTTGTACGGTATTCTTACAATTACATTATTCAGGTAACTAGTATTTCTCAATAGCAGATGTGCTTGATTCATATTTCTTTACTTATAGTAAGATTCAGTACCTAATTTATAATAATTCTATTTCTTGGTTCGAGGTAACCTCAGAGTTAGAAGCACATTATATATTTGTTGCTCTATTCCAGTAATTATTTGAATTAAACATATATTGCTTGTAATCTCACCAAAAAGAACAATTTAAAATCTGATTCATTTATATTTTCCAAAACTGAATTTAGAAAAATGCAATATTTTTTACAGCAGATGAGACAGTCCATAGACACTATGTAATATGTAACTTTTAAAATGTCTAGGGTTGTCTAATATATTGTTGTTTTGTGAAGTAACCTCCCTAACAAATACCATAGAGTAGAATTGAGTAGAACCAATTTCCTATACATGACATAATGTGACACGAATTCTCTGTGATCTGTGAATTTCCTTTTTTTTTGGTTCGGTCTGTGAATTTCCATGTGATGACACTCACAGAGTACTTTAGTATAACTGATGACATTTACTGTCAATATTTCCAGTTTCGTCGACACAGTACCTACACGTTTTTTGATTATGTCGACTAATCAGCCAAACATAAGGCGATTAAACTAAATAACAATTGAAAATGACCGAGGATCAAGATGCCAAGGATTCGCAGTCAGACTCTGGCATCAAGACTTTTTCCGCCAGGAACAAGGATAAGAAAATCAAAGCCCAACGGCCTCTGACCAAAGTGATTAACTTTCTAAGAAATAACATTCCAAGTTTCTGTGCAGTAAATACTAATTGCCAACTTATTTACAGCTTATACTGCGGCGGCTACCTCCAACTATGACAGAAGAAGCTTTCTTGGAGCAAGTCTCACCTATCCCAGAGCATGATCACTTTTATTTTGCAAAGCCAGATCCATCACTGGGACACAGTGTATACTCGAGAGCGTATATTAATTTTGTCAACGTCGAGGACATTTATCTCTTTAGAGATAAATTTGATGGCTACATTTTTCTTGATGAAAAGGGTAAATATATATTTAAAATGTTATTAATTACTGCTTTATAACTTTCACTTTTGTATGTATCTACCTCAAAATGTGCTTTTAGTAGCAAGTGTCCTGTTTCGTTATGTGGTGGCAAACAAGGAAGTTATTCTAGAAATGTTTGAATCTTATTAATTTAATTTATATTCAATATATCACATTCATCCGATTGACAACAAGTTCCGCAATGGTTTTCACCAGTATCCGCTTATACATGCTGATGATTTATTAAAAAGCCACTGGTACAAGTAATGCCCATAGTTGTTATGTATTACTGTTTAAATCCATAGAAGACTCTGTGTCTGTTTTGCTACATTTATTTATTTACACACCTATTGGCCTGAAATAGCTGCTATATTTTTTATAAATGTGGCAATCCACATTTATGGAAATGTATTACATCCCAAAATCCCAATTGTAACAAAAATCCCTAATGGTAACAGATATTGAATATAAAAGATCATTTTGAACTATCAGTTTTTATTTCAAAGTAGATAAATTCAAATATACTCTATTCTGTTATGATGCTGTTTTACTTCCTAATAGATAATCTTTGCTGTATAAGTTCTTAAGATGTCAAAGCTGGAGGAAAAATATATTATTGCCATTCAAAAGTATTTCAAATTAACTTTATGTTCATTAAGTCTATAATCTTATATTTACTTTTATAGGAGTTGAATATGTTGGCATAGTGGAATATGCTCCATTCCAGAGAATACCAAAAAAGAAGAAAAAGAAAGATCCAAAATGTGGTACTATTGAGAGTGACCCAATTTATCAAGAATTTCTAGAAAATCTTAACAAGGATCAAGAAACTGAAAATCAACCGAAACTTGAATATTCTTATCCTGTAAATGATGGTTTGTATTATTATTAAATATATAAATTAATATTGATATAATTGTATATAAAAATAATTTCATTTCCAAATTAATATGTAAAATACAATATGAGACTTTGAATATAATAGTAATAATAGTTCCCAATACTTATATTTTTTGTGACAATTGAGTTTAATTTCAGAAATAAATAAATAAATTTTGATGCAATAGTTAAGAATATAAATGTAAAAGATGCAATGTTCTTTGATGATTCTGTTCTTACTGTATTGCCATATGTAATTATTATGAGTATCTTTGTACTGTATGCAAATATGACACAGATGTTCATTTAAATAATGACTCTGTTGTTGTTATCAATAATACCTCTTGTGTTGTGTTGTTATTTCGTTAAATATATATATTGATTAAATTTTTTTACGATATTATAGTGAATGATAAGAAGGTCCAGTCTACGCCATTATTAGAGTACCTAGCAGCGCGTAAACAAGATAAGCGAGGACGCGATGAACGCCGCAGGAGGGAAAATGATAAAAGAAAAATGAGAATTGAAAGGAAAACAAAAGATATGCCCATAAAGGTAGTATTTCTACAAGATATGTAGGTACATATATATCATAGGAAATTTAGTCTAACATAGAGGATGTTATAATTGTTTTGTAACAGTGGTGATAATGTCTATTATAATATTAAGATATTTTTCCTTACAACTTCTAATCTCAATTATAGCATGACAAATCATAAAAAAACATTTGTTAGTACATGTTTTTTATATTATATTCTTTGTTTATAACAAATAAATTTGTAAAAAGTTATAGGTAACTTTGATGTGTAATTGTAGTAGTTGTACTTTCAATAGAGACCTGGTGATATCTCTGAAGATGAAACATACAAGGATATTTGTGATTATAATGAAAATAAACATAAAAATTTTTGGTTTGGAGAACAAAGAATATACCATAAAAGTAAAGCGAAATGTACATCAGACATAACTGAGATAAAATATCAGGGTTCAGATGAGTTTATTAGTACAGATTCTGATTGGGACACTCAGTTTCCTGCATTATCTATGAAAACTCATAATACATTTACTCTAATTTCTGGTAAAATTTGTGATAATGAAGAAATAAATCAAGAAGGTAGTAAAAAGAGTGCTGGTGATACATGTTTGAAGGTTTACATTTTTAATTTAATGTATCATACATATATACATAGTCTATATATAGTGCTTTACTAGTGTAGATTTGTGTTTTTTACTGATTATACAATTAATTTTGATTTCTGCCAAATTAAATGATATGTATATCGCCTAAGTTTAATGGATTCAGTGGAATAATGTACATCTATTTGATGTACATTACTCCAGATGTACTATGATTTCAGATAATACCATGTACTATCTGAATCACTGATAATTATAAACTCACTCTCTTTATAATACTAGAATATAATCCATATAGTATGTAGAATGCTAGCAGTCTTTGAATTACAAGCAATTGTTAAAGGAATAGTTTAGAGTACTTTAGAGTATTTGGTTAATTGTCCCATATAATGTCCCATATAATAAATGAATAATATGTGTAATTTATTCCAATCATATTTCAACATTGCTAAAGATTTGGGAATTATTACAATATAAAAGCTAATCAGGTTGCTCACAATTCAATCTACTATACAAATATGAATAGAGCAATACTTAAAAGTCACAAACCAGTACACAATTCCTAGTAAGTAATTTTATAAATGTGAGCTATAAAAAAAATATATATTTTTTAGGAAGAAGAAACTGCAGATAGTGAAGTCAAGAAGATCAAGTCAAGAGATTGGGAGAAAGAAAAATTAATTGATATTAAAGAAGATACAAGATCAGAAAGTAAAGATGGAACTGTATTTGAATCCAAAACATACAGGGACCAGCGTAAAGCTAATCTTCTCAATGATAAAAAGAAACGTATAGATAATGATAAAAAGGAGAACATTAGTAAAGATGACGATCAAGGTGAGGATTCTGATAAAGGGTTCATGAAAGAAAAACGTGATAAATTTAAAGAGTCACCTCGTGAACTTAAGAGTAAAAAGTATAGTGACACAAGGAAAGACAGAATTAAACAGAATGATTTTGTAAAATCTGAAAAACAGTCAGTAATAAGTAAAATCATATCATCAGAAGGTAAATCTAAAGTTCTTAATCATGATATCAAACCTTTCACACAGTTGCCACAGGTAAAAACTGATGACCTGGCTAAGATTATTGATGGTATGGATCGAAAATTTAAATTAAATGAAACAGATACCAATGTGGAAAAAGATTATAACGATTTATTGGATAGTAATGCTATTGGATTAACAAAAGCGAGAAGAAGTAGTGTTGGATCTAGTGAGATTTCAATTAAAGAGGAGTCTATATTGAAAAGGCAGAAGTCCCTTGATGACCATAGTAAGTCAAGTGATAGGGAAGGCTCTGAGGAAAAAGACTTAAGTGAAAGTACAGAGCGTCGAAGTGAAAGGAGAATAAGAAATAAGGTAACATATTTTATTTTTAAATATAATTAACTGTCCTCAGAATTAGTAATTACATTTTGTATGGGATGGGATTTATTTGAGTTAACACATCATTTATTGAAACTTAAATGCAAAATGAAATGTGATTTGTTTTATTACTTATTTTTTTCTGATGTTAATAATTATTGTATTATTTAACATGAAGAATAATCCAACAAATAAAATATCAAAGTACATAAAAATTGGTTCAAAATTATTGAGGTACAAATAGTGAAACTTACCTGACTGTTTTATTTATAAACATTGGCATAATTTCATTATGTTTTGAATTGTTATTTGTTTACTATGTTATGAAACTGAGGAATAATTTTTATATAACAACAATATTACATAAATTTCAGGATCGTCCAAGTCTCGTTATTTACCAACCAGGCATGGGAAAGTTCAGTAAACAGAGACTAGCAAAAGAAAAAGAACAGCCACCGACCACTGCGAAACCAATAAATGATAGTGAAAAGAAAGACACCTGAAATAACTGCCAAAATACCCGAAATTTGGACAACATTCGACGGAATCACCTGAAGCTGGCATTCATAATATGTCCTTGCAGATGCTGTAGAAGAGGTCATTTGAATTTGCCAACTGAGGGAAACAAGTTCGCGTTTATTAAAAGCTGTTGTTATATTGATTTAATTTACATTCAGTGATGAGATTCAGATTTTGTCGTTTATTTCAATCAACGTAGCATTTACTGCGTCAACTTAAGCTTGTGACCATTTAGTTCAGTTTATTTTATTTCATTTAAATATAATTCATTTTTTTAAATTTGGGATTGCAGCGTTTTATTGTAACAACACCCGATTATATCTACAAAATACAGAAATACTTTTTTTAAGTGACTTCATTCGGTTAGAATTTGTAATTTATCTATTTACAAAATTTAAATCGTTGCTGTAGCATTTCGTATATTTCCATAACAAATTGATTAAAATCGGTTAAGTTATTTAGCAGAGCTAAATAGTTACTGTATTCTTATTAGTATCAATATAGGTGAAATATAGAATTATGTTGATACAAGAGCCTGTCTTGAGGCGATTTATATTAAACTGGAATCAAATCAATGTTTCAAATAAATGAAAAAAATCTTTACTATTAACCCATTTGCACATAAAGGATTTTATTATATTACTTGTATAATTTTATTTTAGAACTGCAAAGTTAAAGAATACATTTTCTATTTATTTCATTTTCAATCAATACCGACCCATTAAACGTCATCTCCGGTCTCCAGAATTACAAGGAAAAATAGAAAATTTAAAATTATGCCTAAAGTAATTACAACAACGAATTTGCAACTCGAGTAGTTACTGTTAAGGTACAAATAATAGTAATCACATTTATTTATTCAATGGATATTTATTAAAAAAATATTTAGTACCTAATAATCTATCACAGTGCTTTATTACGTTTACCATGCAAATTATACAAAAAATGTTTTCTCAAATAAAGAAATTGGTAGATTTTAAATCTGCCTTAATTACTATATAATACCTAATTATTATTATAACATTCAGAAACTAAAACCAAATATGTTAAGATTTCTCATAATCATATGGATGGTTGTGTTAATAAAATACATTTATCAATTATTACAGTACAATATTCAATAAAATACATAAATTCCAAAAGAAAACCATAGGAAAATTAGTTTTCCTAAGTATTTGTACTTATCCGAAAATATTTTTTTTTTCATATAATTTTTAAAAACATGGCGTCTATATAAATTGTACCAATTTAAATATATATATTTATTATAATAGCATTTTAGACTTACATTTACATAATTGCACCTTATTATTATTTTTTATATTACTCACATGTCCTTTACGTACCAAAGTCATTTGATAACTAAATGGTAAAATCAGTAAATACTATACAAATATTATAGCACGATTATTAGTAACCCTAATCAGCCTTTCCGAAAGCCTCTTATAATTACATTCACTACAACGATAAATTTTGCATTTACATTACTAAAATGGTTAAGATAGTTTTATTTAGAAACGTTTTTGATGTTTTTGGCCGAAAGGAAATTGTTGACGAAAATAACCTCTGACTCGGGGACTACTACTTGATGAGCATTATATGTGGATATGCAGATTATTCTACGACCAATTAGATCAAAAAAATACATCGAAATCGAAAAAAAAAACAATGATGAAAATAATTTTAAAAGTAAATGTACAAATTTATTCCATCGTCCTTACACATTTTACGGTCACTTATAAATTAACAAAATTGAGGAATAGCACGAACTACCGTCAATACCTACATGTGAGATCATTGCAAATGTAGGTAGATTACTAAAATGTAGATATTACATACTCTATAATCATTAATTTATTATAATGGTGACTTTTATGAAACGACAAATTTTATATCGTTCTTTTCACATATATTGAATAACATCGACACAATTTTTCGTGTTTCAACCGAATCAGGTGGTACCTACTATTTCTACTACATGCAATACAGGTTGTGAAGAGTACAAATGCATTTGTCGTTATGTTGTTTAGATTTATAGAATTATAAACAGGATATCACTAGCTAATATATTACTAAGTATTAAAATAAAAGAAACTAGATACTAAATTTATATCAGATCTATTTTTGGTTGATATACGAACTAAATAATTATTTACTTAAAAATGCACAAACTCAACGTTATTTTGGCAAAGCAAGCCCAAACTGTGATTTCCAAATATACTATAACTTTTTGTTTGTTAAAATTTATTTTATACAATACTAGCTGTGCGTGTAATACAACCAATACTCATTAAATTATCATCAAATCTTTTCTTTTTATGACTGTGTAAAGATCCTCCGCAAGTTGTATTAACTTTTTGATGAGATTTAAATACGCATAATGCAATAACAATTCATCAACATGGAGAGGGCAATCAAATATTTGCGACAACACTAGAATTACAGTCTATATAATTCTATGTAGTCGGTTCCAGATCTAATTGTAACTTTTGGAATAGTAATTATAGTCTGCCGGGTTCGTGCATGGCATTCCTAGCAAACCTTCGGCCTATCCGTCGAACGGTAAGACGTCCGAAAGGCTATCTTCCTCTTCTTTTCTGTACTTGTTCACCCTGCAGGACGCATGCTCAAAATACTAAAGCCGGGAAACGTCACTCGAGTCGTTGAGAATCGGTTTCGCTGCATCTCTATCGTTCTCATTCTTTGGCGTTACCTTCTTGATCTTCTCGGCCGGTGTCTTGGTTTGAGCTACATTATATCGATGCATGATATACAGTAACAGCATGAAACAGACCAAAAAGCCTGCCAGTCCACCGGTCACCTTCAACCAGGTGCGCCGCGAAGTGAATGTGTTATGAAACTGTAAAAATAACAAAAAGAATTTGAAAACGGTAATCGTGGAAAAATTAGAGACCACTACTTTTACTACACACCAAAAAGAGGGTGTTATATGTTCGACGTGTCTGGCATCATAGCTCCATAGTTCACAAATGGACCGATTTTGATGCGTTTTTGTTTGAAAATCGTGATTCTAGATCGTGATTCTTACTTACAATATATTAAACTTTTTTATTCAGTATTACGTAAAATTTTCAATTATTAATAACTGGTGGCTAAATAGCTATCAATAAATATAGTGTAGCGCAACTTGAGCGAGAGAGGCACGACATTGAGACGAGGACTTCTTCTTAACAGTGATTATTTAATGAATATGGCATACATACTTATTATTAGGCATTCCAGGTAGTCATTGGATTGTAATTTGTGCTTAGTTCAACAATTGAAAACAACGAAGATGTTTACAGTTTAACCTATAGATAAGTAATGTTACTATAACAAATATATTTAGTAGTTATAAAATAAATTAAAAGTGCAATGAAGATTATGTATAAATTATAATCTATAAAAAATTGACTTCTAATATTGAAATATTCTTATTGAACCAATACGCCAGAAAAGTCTTGACATCAGGAATAAAAAGTATGCCTAATTATTCCTGAACCTCTGTCTCACTTATTTCTCAGCTAGCTTTCCTTGTAAGCTGTTTGCTGAATTAACGGTGAGATATTCTGGTACAAAGTCATTGTACAGAGGGGTACTACGGGTATTATTCATATAATAACACGATGTCTAGTCAGGGTATTAATATTTAAAAACTAACCTTCGAGTACATGCTTCTGCATGTATGGTGCGTGGTATTGAGAACTATTAAATCATTTTCTGTCATACTCGGGCACTCATTGAATTCTGAAAGAAGAATAATAAATACACAATTAAAGAATTAATTTTAAAGTTAAATACTACGTGTCTTTTTTTCATGTTTAACATAATAAAAATGTACCAGTTGAGTTTCTTGCCAGTTATTCTCAACTGAATTAGCTAGCCGAACTGGACGGTAGGGATAGTTGTAAATATATGTATATATATACTGACCTTTTGAATTCAGCCTGGCGTAATCATCCAAATCCATTGAAATTGCATTTACTTGAAACCAATGAATCGTAGGTTTTAGTTCACATACATTTTCTATTTTGTCTATAGATTTTGAAATATCAACCTTCTTCAAGCCGCACATCGAGGCAAAATGTTGTGCATCAATAGTTATTAATGGATTGTGTGATATATTGTATTGTACCAAATGTGGTAAAGTTCCCCAATTTGGTAATTTTTCAAGCTTGCAATTAGATAAATCTAATAACTCCAAAGGTGCATTTATAGGTTTTCTTAATTGTAGGTTGTTTATACTTAGATGGAGTAGTGGATTATTTTTCAAATATAAATTTCGTAAGGACGGTAGCTGGAACATAGTCTGTGGTAATTGTAATATGACATTGTTCGAAAGATCTAAAGTCTGCAAGTATATAAGCGGAGCAAATGCGTTTTCATCAATACGATACAATTGATTTTCAACTAAATATAAAAACTTTATATTTGGGTAATTTGTGAATGTGCTAGCTTGCAACTCATTTAATCTATTCTCGCTGAAGTCCAAGATCTGAAAAGTAAAACATTTTAAGTTTAGTTTTGTGTTTCATAATTACCTATAGTTTGTCTGTTTTACAGTTCTTTTTTCTACTTCTAGGTGTATCTACCTAAATAAACAGTCTACAGAGTAGGTAGGTATATACTGTTTGTAGCGAACTCCTTGGACATGGACTTTTGTATTGTTTTTAAATTATGTAATCATATTTTTTGCCATATTTTTTTTTATGAAATTTTATTATACACTTTTGTTACTGTGAGGGTTTTTGGGTAAAACAGCATCTAAGTTGAATATAATTTTATTTGATATATGTCTACAAAAGCAATCTGATAGGAATAATAGAAGACAGGAAACAAAGCCATATCGTTGACACATAACTTTCCATCGAGTGTACCGTGCCAGTACTGACAGTTACCTAGTTGCATTTGAATTATCTTCATATTTTTCCTTACAAAGCACTCTATACCTTTTATTCATCATGTACATCAGATACATTCGTTTCACTGTGAACTAATGTTAGATCATGTATACCAATTTTGAAGATTGTACTGATCTATAGAGGGCAGATAGCTAACTATGTAGCGTATAGTTATATTTTTATTTGTATTAAATATCAATGTTATGGATACTAGATAACTGATATAAATCCGTAGATATTTTTTTTGGTAAATATATAATATACATAGAAAAAACTCAGACCGATACAAAAATTAATACTCATCGAGGAATCGAACTCGCGACCATCGGAAGTAAGGCGGCGTGCTAAACCGTTAGACCAAGGTTGTCAAAAATTATATTTCTTATTTGATTATACAAAAATCGAACATTATAACAGAAGCAAAGTATTTAGGTAATTGATTTACACAATGATGGATTTTGTATGAATTCTGAACCTTTGAGATACATACCTCTATACTGCTCTTTAGATTTGGAATCTTCTCAAGACGGAGACCACCGCAATAGGCGCCGTACATGTCGTAGGCACGCTCGTGAGTACATCGTGTCAGTTTTGGTGATAATACATCCACATCACTAGAACACCGAGTCAAGGTACAACACGCCCACAGGACCAATATTAAGGAGTCGACTTTTATTCTGTAACCAACGGTAATCATAACGTCAATGTCTATCTACCAATTAATGCTTTCCAATAGTGAGTTCCGTTTTATAAAAAGACGGATAATGGTCTTATCTAATGATTAAATGAATTTTTCGCGCAATATCTTCGCTTGTCAATTATTTTTATCTAAACATGTATAGAAGTTCTACGTTCATAGCGTAAATAGAATTAAAGCAAAATGAGTCAGAATGTTTCATTATTTTAAAATTTCCGTGCCACTTTAAAATTGTATTATCTACACATAATCTTTTAGGATGTACCTAAGCATGGAATGGAGTACCTGTTTGATCTAATGGTGTACTCTGTTGGAGCACCTGTGGATGATGATAGAATGAGGATAATATTGGGTTACCCAAACATTATTATACCTCCATAATTATCATCGCTACATAACATACTTTAAAATGGTTCTACAATATATAATATATAGGCAAAATATTTTACTAATAAATAGGTAAAACTATGTTAATTTGCTTGTTTTACATATGAACACGTCGTTGTCACTTCGTTGATGCTGATTATTTTTTTATTTACTTTAGCCTTTGATGTCATACTATAATCATGAGCTACATATGTCTGAGATAAGTAATATACCTACTTGATAAATTTATGTTCCCTTTATTATGACCTCGAATTTCTTTATCATTGTAATAAATAAGTAACATTTCTTCATCGAATAAATACATATGATAATACGCCTACAAATAATAAGATTTATACACGACAGCATGTGAGGAGAGAGAAAATGGTAGAGAGTGGCAGCGGAAAGTAAAGTACAGGTATTTAAATATCTACATAGTAGTATATATTATGTTATCTGTGGTAGTATATAATTATATAAATCTTTAAAATATTTTACTATTAGTATTCGTTTGAAAAATAGATATATCTATTTCACCTGGAAAGTGTTTTAACTTCCGTGACAAAAACAGGGATGTTATAAGTGTAATTATGAAGTGATTCGGTATGGGGAGTGATATAAAGATAATAATGAACTAATAATAATATCTGGTCTGGCAAGTCTTGCAATGTTCATGTACAAACATTAGATAGAGTATAATGTAAATCACAGCTATCTATAGTTCACGTTGATAAATTTTTTAGAAAATATTAAACTATTAATTTAGGTTAATCTGTTGCTTGTGCATTAGGTAGATACTTATTGTATGTGGCACGTGTTATAAAAATATATACCTTTATATTAGCCTGAGATTGATAAGAAAATTTATCAGTACTTACAAATGAAAAAGAGGTAACTGATAATACGATTTCTTGTTTTGTACTCTGTTAATTGTAAACAGAAAACATAAAAGGTGTTGCATGAAAGTAATATCAATACTAATTGATTATCATTAAATAGCACAGACACGTGTGTTATTGTATAAAATACAGCTTAGTCATAACATCATCGTACTTTTAAAACTAAAGTAACTCGAGTTTTGTAATCTCAATACGTGATTTATTGTTTTTCCCTTCTTTTTATCGTAGTTACTGGAAAATAAATTTACTGTCAAGAAGTCAACGATAAAATAATCTTCCCTAATTAATTATATCAAACTACAAAAATAAAATTATCTTTAGCTTGTTGAGTTGGGAGATATTCCGAGTGAAATGACCTAGATTTTAATGGATATTTTTAATAATGTTAAACGTAACTTTTAATCTAACAATATGTTTTTTTAACAATGACAAAATTTATTACTCAAATACAATTATGTATATGAACCTCTATATTCATTCAACATGCCCCCTTAATTGTATTTTAATTTAACATGTCTAAGTATTTAAGAACACCACTAAACATTTTAAGATTAAACTGGTAAATCCACCACAACACAATTTCTCACTTAACCATTTCAAACAAAACGAGAGATTTACATCATATTTAAAAAATAAAGGATTGTTACCTATAAAAGCTGATCAATGTTTGTTTAAAAATGAATCACTTATATTGGGTATTTATGTAGACGATGGAATACTCATGGGAAAAGATAAAAAAGAAATGGAGAAGTTAATAAAAGAGCTGGAAAATGAATTTGAAATGACGTTGAATACAGAACCTAGTTTATTTCTAGGAATATAAATTAATAAAAATGAAAATAATCATATTACATTAACACAAGAAAATTACATTAACAAAATAATAAATAAATTTGAAATGAAAGATGGTAAAAGTACTCCAATACCAATGTGCATCGGAGCAAAGAAGAGACAGAAGATGAAGAAATTGATTTTAATAATTCGTATTTTCCTTACAGAGAACTTATAGGGTCGCTATTATATGTTGCTAATAAAACTCGTCCTGATATAGCATTTGCGGTTAATTTTTGTAGTAGACGAGTGGAAAAACCAACAAAGCAAGATGTCATTAATGGAAAACGAATATTAAGGTACCTGCTATGGGCATCGAATTCAGGTATTAAATTTTATAACAGTAATCTACATTTAGAAGCTTATTGTGATGCTGATTATGCTAATGATCCACATACAAGAAAGAGCACAACAGGCTATATAATCTTTCTATGTGGAGGTCCTATTACATGGTCATCAAGACCATAGTTGCCATGTCATCATCGGAATCCGAATATATAGCAGCTGCAGATTGTTGCCGGGAGTTAATGTACCTAAAAAACTTAATTAGTGAGGTAGTAAACGAAGAAGTTACTGCAACGCTTTATGTAGATAAACAAAGTACAATTCATGTAATTAACAACGGTATTATGAACAGAAGACACATCGATGTCAGATATCATTATATACACGAAAAAGTCAGTGAAGAACTTTTAAAAATAAAATATTGCCCCTCTGAGCATCAAATTGCTGATATTCTGACGAAGCCTCTTGGAAATGTAAAATTTTCTTATTTAAAGTCCTATATTATTTCTTAGTTTATAAAACAAAATGAAGGGGGCAACTATACAAGTTATTTTATTTTATTTTAAGACAGAAGTTTTTTTTTATTTGTTTATTGTAATAGTTATAGTTCAGTGAGTAAGTAATATTAATATTTTTTTTAAAAGTAGTTTTCTTAAAATGTTTAGTGGTGTTCTTAAATACTTAGACATGTTAAATTAAAATACAATTAAGGGGGCATGTTGAATGAACATAGAGGTTCATATACATAATTGTATTTGAGTAATAAATTCTGTCTTTGTTAAAAAATATATTGTTAGATTAAAAGTTACGTTTAACATCATTTTATTATTTTATTAAAAATATCAATTAAAATCTAGGTCATTTAACTTGGAATATCTCCCATTCACTCAACATTCGTACATGAAGAGAAGATATGAATAATATCTAAGAGATATATGATTAATTATTTATATACCCAACTAAACTATTAAATTATAATATTGATTGAATCCTTACCTTGTAGGTAAAAAACAAAGTTGCCACAGCTGTCTGTTCGCCTATATCTCTTAAATTACGCAAAGGATTAGAATCCATTTTCAGTAATAGATAGAAGGATTCAAGGGGAATGTTTATATACGTATAATGCATACGTGTTATAGTATGCATCCGTGCGAAGCCAGGAGGAATAAGCTAGCACGAAATAAAGAACTTCGTTAAGTCCAATTTTACAATAAAAATACTACCGATAGTACATCTATGTAATAGGTATAATGCAAAATGTGCATGTATTTATTAGTTAGTTGAGTTAGAGAAAGTGTTTATCAGAATGTCTCTTAAACTTTACAATTTTTAATTATGCATTTAAAATAACAATGTGATATCTGCAGCTAAAATGATATATTTTACTCCAGCTAGCGTTACCAGCGCGAATATTCCGAACATGTCGTTAACTGCAGCTGGGCTTATCAGCCAAGTACCTTCGGATATTCCGATGACATTGTTGACCATAGACCAGAAAAGATCAAGTCCAATACATTTAGGTATATGTACATATGTTAGAAAATTTTAACGTAAGTTATTTTTCAAGAAATGAATGAAGAAAAAATATAAAGAACATATCTGTACCATTAAAAACCATTTTTCTTTTATTGGTTTGCATGGTTCCGTCATCTGCTGTATCAATTTGTAATTATATTCGGTTTAGAATCATAATGAATAATACCCCTGAAGTAAATATTATGAATGCGAATGACTCTGGAGTTACATATGTGGTGGTGTTCGCATTCGCAGAGTAGACTCTCTCTGCAGAGAGAGCTCGAGAGTATAGTATCTAGTATTCTTATTTTTATCTTGTTTTTATTCTAAGACATTGAAATTTAAAGAATACATATTTAGCTAAGATATCGATTTATAATGTTTTACAAATATTGCCACAATAGTGATATCGTCCATATCTTAATTGTGAACGCAAATAGAAGTGGCAATTAGGGTCCGGTGTCATAGCCACGATTCGAGTTTCTAGGTCTTTGTCCTGGAAACCTGAGTGTCGAGAACGCCACGTGACATTTGCAATCAGTGAATACACTTAACATGAGCGTAACCAATTTTTATATAATTGATTCTAAAACTCTTAGTATTACAATAATATTTTTATAAGGAAATTATGTAAAATGTTACATTGTGAAATAACTAAATACAGCTATTACATTAATTATTTAATCATCATTACATTAATATTTGATTATACCTACTTGAATTTCTGTACTGTTAATATCGACTAAGCCTAAAAAGTATATTTACTTTCACAAAGGAAAGTACTTAATTTAGGGCTAGAGTGTTAATAATTAAATTGCATAGAGATTTATCAAGAAATCATATAGAACATAGATACAAAGAATTATATATAAAGGAATTAGAAACATATGGCTCGATCTTCCTATGAAATAGGTTTTTTTCGGACTACTCTATTGCTGTTGGCCGCAGCTAATCATTACAGCTTCACCGGACGATAGGGGGCGAGTGCAGATGGCATTCCAAACCCGCGGAAGGACTTATAGACTTATGGACTAAGGACAGCCTCTCGGCTGAAGGCCAACTTGCGGCTGACGGATTCGACTTT